TCCAGCTCTTCTCCCTCCGGGCGAGGCCACCTCTGCTGGCCTCTGTGGACCTCTCCTCCTCATATCCTGCTACCCCCTCCCCTCACGTGACTCGGGCATCCTGAATTTCTCACTGGTTTTTGAGGACGTAGCCAAGCCTTCTCTGGAGTTACGGTCCCTGCACATGCTTTTTCATCCTGCCAAGTGCTCTTCCCACTTTGCCCACCTGGCTCCTCATCCTTGAGCTGTCCCCTCGCTCCCCTGCCCCCATCCCCGGAGCTGCCTAACAACCCCAACGCTCTGGTCTCTCCACACTCCCTCCGGCTTCTCTGTCACTCTGTCACTGCTGGAAATTATCTTCTCTATCTCTTGTTTGTTTCCTGTCTCTCCTTACTATGATGTAAATATCATCAGGGCACCAACCTTGCTTGTCCCCCTCTCTGCTGAATAAACTCCAGCCACATGCGCCCACCAACTTCTTTTGCCTGTGGAGCAGACATCACAGCCTCATCCCCTGTCACAGCTTCTTTTCCAGACCCCACGCAGACCATCCCCCTTCTGTAAGCTTGGATGGCATCCAGCTGGGGGACAGCGTCCTTGATTTGTTTCTTTTTTCTGTTGTAATCACAGTCTAGTCTGCCTCCCTGAGATCACGGTCCCATCTCTCCTCTTGTACTTGTGTGTTCCCAAATTGCCTTGGCTACACATTTCAAATTAATCTCTTAGTTATTTCAGACCATACTTTCACTTTGAGTAACGAGACTATGCAGCGCCTTAAAGCTGTGAAGTGGTGTTGCTAGAGCGTAAGAACAGCTTTGGCGAAGGAAAGGGAACATTTGAGTGATTGCCTGTTCTATTCCATATGCATATATTTGATTCTAAATACATTCAATTAAAGAAAATTTTATTGTCCTGGAAGAGAAATTAGAAAACGCCAAAAGGCAACACGAAGAAAAAAAAAATCCCACATTATCTCTGCATGCTGAGATGACAGCATGCCACACGGCGTGTACGTGGTACGTAGGATTAAAACATCATGCACACAGTTGTGCCCCCCACTTTCTTCAAAAAATCACAAGATACCTATCAGTAAATCACAAGTCAATTTTAAATGGCCCAAGAGTGTTGCATTTCTTGGATATGCCATAAATTACTAAACAAACCTGTCGTTGGGTGTTCAGGTTATTTCCTTTCCCTATTACAAGCACCTAATTTAGTTAACCTATTTTCTTTTTCTTTTTAAAATCAGCATTCTAGAAAATACCATGTTCTTTCCCCTTTGCTCTCCCTTTTGCGGGAGCGTGTGGGGCACTGTCTTGCGGGGTATCAGTATGGAATTAGTCCTGTGTGAGGCTTTGTTGTGACTCCATGTGCCCACATCATGTTTCTCTTTGTGGCAATGACCGCTTGTTTTCCACACCGTTCTGTGGTTCTAAAAACAAGTGTTACGCAGCGACTCTGTTTCCTGAGCGCGTCGCTCACTCTCCCTTCCTGACTTCCAGCGGAGGCTGGTCTCCAAGAACACATCAACGTAAACAAAGTTCTCTGAACACCTCCTGATTGACAATGTGGTGTATTTTTATTTAAAATGACTGTTCGCTGGCTACTCTGAAACATGTTGTAACCTTGACCTTTATATTTGCCACTGTTTTAAAATTCTTTTAAATGGCAGGCAGTACAATAAAAGGTGACTTCTTCTTTGATGTTACTTCTGAACAGTACATAGGGTACTACATTGTGAAGTAATAAATAAATGGCAATGGATATATCGTAGCTATATTTAAATGCATTGAAGAGTGGGTTTAAACAATGCATAGGCTTCTCTCTAATGCTGCTCCTTTCTCCTATGGTTTATCGCGAGTGGGAGAAGTTTTGAAAGCAGATCATTATAAAGCCTTAGAGAAATTCCGAGTGGTATTTCTTGACTTCTTTGTGATCCAGTTACCCTGACTGCAGTGGTTTATCATTGTTACTTCCTTATTTGTTAGTGCAAGGTTCCAGGAACATAGAGTGTTTATACTCTTTTAGCAGAACCGGGTTCTTCAAAGATATTGTTTCCTTCCTTTGATGACACACAATGAGTGGTATTTCATGACTTCTTGTGATTTCAGGTTTCTAAACCAAGTCTTGCATCTCAGTCAAGTTTCTGTTTAGTGCGGGATGAAAATGATAATTAGAATCTTATTTAGCTAAGAACACGCAGAGAAGCACACCGTGGCCATTCTGGGCGGGGTGTTCTCTGAAAGTAGGAGCCAGTTACAGGCACCAGGTGGGATGGGGGGGAGGCGGGAGCCTCTGTCCTGAGGAGCCATGTGAGGCTGGCTGGGCTGCAGGAGGTAGGGAGCTGGGACAGTGGGTTCGAGTGTCCAAGCTGCTACGAGTGTGACTTTAGCTAAACCAACCAGAAAAGCTCGTATTTCTGCTGGTGCCTCAGGCTGTGTTCTGTGCATGACCATCAGTTTTCTTTTGATGATCCCCATTATTGAGTTATGCCAAAGACTTGAAATGGAGCCTGTGCTAAGAGCTAGTTAAGAAAAGGGCACTGAGGGCGGAGTTGAGAGAGAGATTAAACTATATTACAGAATGACAGACAAATGACACAAAACTTGCCATTCATTCCATGAGTGTTTGTTCAGCCCTGCTCTGTACCAGATGCTGTTTCGGGAATTCAGAATGCGTGTGAAACAATTTTCCTGCTCTCAACGAGCAACTGTAGCTCAGCCTCTGAATCGGCTGGCCCCAAACGAAGGAAGCTTGGGTTTCTCACAGCTACAGATTTCAAATAGCAAGATTCTAACAGTTGTGAAGTGGAAGCGGGTTTGGGGTTAAGGACTGTCAGCACAGGCAGATGAGCAGGGAGAAGTGGGAATTGGTTGTGGGCAGAGGCTGGCAGGTGGAGAGGACAGCGGTGGGATCTGGCGAGCGGCTCCTGCTGTGCAGGCACTGACAGGCGTAGCTGGTTGTGATGGCCCTGCTCTGAAGGCCGCGGCCTGATCTGGTGCCCCCAAAGGTCCTTGCAGTGATGCTTTCCTGACAGTGAGGCATGCTTAGGATCGGGCAGTTCACCCAGCGCTAGACCAGTGCTACTCAGCTGCCTGGTGCCTGGTGCCAGCTGCCTGGTGCCAAGAGATAGGCACGAACATTGAGAGTAAGTGTTTACAAATTTCTATAGCAACTTGATTTTGCAGCCACATCCCAGTGCGTGAGCGGTGGATTAGTTTGTTTAACAGGATGTAGATGCAGTTGGGTTTTGTGGGACTTACATGTGTAAGTTCACATCTGGCTGGAGCTGGGAACTAGTCCTGTGCACGGGGATCATGTGTCTTTCCCTAATGAATAGAAACAAAACAAAACAACCTCGTCCTTCACGACATAAGTTTGAGAAACACTGCTCTGGATCAAACATGGAGGTAATGGGAGGTAAGGCTGAGGAACCCAATGTCAAGGACTTCAGTAAACCTAAAGCCGTTTATCATATTCCATTTTCCTTTCAGGTCTTTGTCAACATACTGACGCACCTCACCTTCCCTTCTTCCTTTCCTTCTTGTCATCAGCATCCGCATGTGTTCTTTTTTCATAAACACTATTTTTCATAAACACTTTTTATGTGCACGTCATATACGGTTCTATACATATGTTCTATACACAGTATACCCAATTCATAAATTTGTCATTTTAAATAATATTATTTTGTTGTGTTTATATGCCACAAGTTCTTAGCTCCTCTATTTGGGGCTATTGCTACCTTTTCCTGGTATAAACAGTGTTTCTGTGAATATTTTTGAACAAATTGGTTTTTTAAAAATTTATTTTGGGTTTCTGGAGTGTATACTCAAAGGAGAAGTACTGTGTGAAAGGCCACAGTTTTATTGCTCTTCAGAAAGACAGAACTAATTTATGTCTGTGGGAGTAGGTATATAGACTTTTTCTGTGCTTTGGGCTGTTCAATTATAATACCTTTTTTTTTTGCTAGTTTAACAGGCCTATATAATCACTTTGAGATTATTTTAATGTGCTTACTTTCAGAGGTGAGGATGTGATGATTTGATTTTAATATTTTCTCACATTTAAAACTAAACAATCATTTTAAAAAAAAGATTTTACTTATTAATTTTTTTAGAGAGAGGGGAAGGGAGGAAGAGAGGGAGAGAAACATCAGTGTGTAGCCTCTCACGCGCCCCCTGCTGGGGACCTGGCCCGCAACCCAGGCCTGTGCCCTGACCCTGGGAATCATACTGGTGACCCTTTGGTTCACAGGTGGGCACTCAATCCCCTGAGCCACACCAGCCAGGGCAGAAACTAAACAATCTGAAAAAGACTCTTATCAAGTTCAAAATGGATGTTAACATCCTGCATGTAATTTTATCAATTTTACATAGAATGTATGTAAGCTTTTATGTATACTTCACATCTTTACCTATCTGTTATTGTTGGTTTTCTCATTGTTTCATTATATTTTGTGGTGTAAAACTTGTTCATTATTATTTATATATTTATACTTAACTACATCATCTCTTTCGTGATTCTGTGTTTTCTTGGCCAGAAGCTGTTTTCCCCTTCACAAGTGGGATAAATATACTATTCTGCTCTTTTCTAGTTTTTAAAATGCTATCTCTTGGATCACTCTGAACCTTATTACAGTGTTTGGTGTAAGATGTGGATCTAGGTTAATTTTCCTTTTTACTGAAGTCTAACTGTACCAGCAACTTCTATTGGGATTTCCCCCTTATTTTTGTGGTTCTTGTGGCTTGACATATTAAGAGTTTTTGACAGATAGAAGGAATATATTTTTGGAATCTTTGTTGTTATACTATCATCTGTTTAAAAAGTTAATCCTATATATATATTTCATTTATAACTTATTTTATTAAAGCACTCTACCACCATGACTTAGAAAAAGTATCATTTTATAGTCTTTCCTTTTATTCTTTGAGGTGCATTTCACAGTCAGTTGGCACAGTTCTCTAAATCTGCCTGATTTTTTTTTAAAAACATTGTTTAATTTTTAGTTTCTTCTAAAGATGTATTCCGCCAAGCCTTAAGACAGAGGACACTGGACGTTAAGAAAGAGGTCCACTCGAGTCCTTACAGCCTAGTGCAGTGCCTTTTTCTCTTGTGTGTACTCTGCTAGCACTGTTATAAAAACCAAGCCATGACCCTTGTTTCTGCATTTGAGTGCAGTGCTTACACCAAAGGGCCTGCTTGAGTTCTGCCTGCACTTTTGGCTGCGTGAAGACAAGTGCTTTTGGGCACCTTCTAAAGCAGTGATTTTAGTGGGGTTGTGGCTGCTTAATGAGAGGATGAAGTTGAGCGTTCGCGTCCATCAGCTTATCTCTGATCTGACCAGGCTATAAACCCTTCTCTGTGCTTTGGTCACAGAGGAATTGGGAGAAATACGTCAGTGTAGACTTGTCACCATTAATGAAAGCAGCTGTGCATGGCACGGAGTATTGACTATGTGTGATGTAACAAAAACTGCCTTATGGGAGCAATATTTAAACATTAATAAGAGGGGAGAAAGAGTAGATCATTAGACCGGGGTGCTTGTTCTATGGGAGGTAGCTTTTAACGTGTTCTGTCTCAGTGTGTCCTGAATTTTTAGAATTACCGGCAAGTTCCCTGGGTGGTGTCCCCATCTCAGAGCTGCTCGCGGAGGGGTGTACGCGGCTGCAGGGGTCGGCCCCTGTGTCTGACGGAAGGTGCCCGTGGAGGTGCGTAATGGAATCCTTCCCTGGGTGGGGCTGCTCATCCCTGGGTGCCATAGCATATTTCTGTTTGATTATGGACTTTGTGACAATATCAAGTGACTCCAGAAACTGAGAACGAATGTTTAGTCTATTAAATTTTTTTATGAAATTCCCTAATAAGTCAAACACTCTTGGCAATGAAATTAGCTAAGACTGTATCATTATGTTAGAGATTATAAGCTCTTGCATTATATAACTAGTGTACACGTAAACATTTTTCTTCTTTTACTTGGTAGTTTCTTGGTTTCTTACTAGTTGCCTGAAGTATTTTTCTGGCAGATAAATGTTTGTTAGCCTGTGTGGCTGTCAGGCTCACTTTTTTTCTTCTATCTGCTGTTCCCCCGCTTTATAAAATAATTGAAATAATAAGAGATTCATGTAATGCACAGAACTTTCAGCTTGCAGTGAATAATTACCAATATTTATTGTGATGCCTTATTGCACAGAATGTGTTTCATCTTCTTTGAACTTCATGAAACCCTGTGAGGTGGGAATTACTGGTACAGCCATGTTTACAGAGGTAGATACTGAAGCTCAGAGACGGTGTAACAACCTGCCTTAGGCTACAAGGTAATTAGTAGCAGGTCAGGGCCTCTGGTTACAAATCTCATGCTTTCCCCAGTATATCTTCTGGTTTTCATTCTTTTGGACAGAATTATATTTTATGGGAAGAGAATGGAAGTATTTTTTATTTTAATCATAATATGTGGTGCTCAATTTAATGGGCTTAGTGAATCACTGACCATTATAATGATGCAATATGTTTTTTTAAAGGATTATGACTATGCAAAAGAACATGCTTATTTAAAAAAGTATTTCAAAAATATTTACCTAATTTATTGATCAAGTGAATGTAATGTGAAGAACTTTTCTAATTTTATTCAAATGGTCCTATTTAAGGGAAAAATTTATCCAGAAGCACAAGCTGTAGAATTCTGAGTTTTTTTGGATGCTATTTTATAGCCAAGTTTTACAAATTTAATTTGAAAGTATTTGTTACCAGAATATAAAACTGGAATTGATTTTTGTCTTTTAACTTATATCCCATGACCTTGCTATATTCATGCATTAGTTTTATTAGTTGTTATTTTTAGTAGTTTGTAGATTTCTTAAGATTTTCCATATAAACCATAATGTCATCAGCAAATTGAGACCACTTTACTTCTTTCTTTGTCATCTTTATAGCTTTTTCCCCTTGTTTTAGCAATAGGCACATGTTGAATTAGTGTTGCTATAATATTCTCATTGTGATAAGACTCCTTTATGCCTGGCTTATAAACCACAGATACAGTGTTGGAGAATTTTATTAAAAATTAAAAAAATAAACAATATTGAGTTATTAGAACTTTAAAAATTATTTTTCATATATTAATAATAAGCATCAGTGTATGTTTTGAAATTGTAAAGGTGTGATAAATGGTGATGGAAGGAGACTTGACTTAGGGTGGTGAACACACAGCGCAATATACAGCTGATGTATTACATAATTGTACACCTGAAACCTATACAATTTTATTAACCATTTTAGCCCCAATAAATTCAATAAAAATGAAAAAAAAAATGTGGAGCACCGAGACAAAGAAATATGGCCCAAATGAAAGAACAGATCAAAAGTCCAGAAAAAATACAACTAAGTGATGAAGAGACAGCCAACCTATCAGATGCAGAGTTCAAAACACTGGTAATCTGGATGCTCACAGAAATGGTTGAGTATGGTCTCAAAATAGAGGAAAAAATGAAGGCTATGCAAAGTGAAATAAAGAAAAATACACAGAGAACCAACAGTAAAGGGAAGGAAACTGAGACCCAGATCAATGATTTGGAGCAGAAGGAAGAAATAAACATTCAGCCAGAACAGAATGAAGAAACATGAATTCAGAAAAATGAGGAGAGGCTTAGGAATCTCTGGGACAACTTTAAACGTTCCAACGTCTGAATCTTAGGGGTGCCAGAAGGAGAAGAGGAAGAGCAAGAAACTGAAAACTTATTTGAACAAATAATGAAGGAGAACTTCCTCAATCTGACAAGGGAAATAAACTTACCAGGAAGTCCAGGAAGCTCAAAGAGTCCCAAAGAAGTTGGACCCAAGAAAGCACACACCAAGGCACATCATGATTACATTACCCAAGATTAAAGATAAGTAGAGAATCTTAAAAGCAGCAAGAGAAAAGGAGAAAATTACCTACAAAGGAGTTCCCATAAGATTATCAGCTGATTTCTCCAAAGAAACCTTGCAGTCAAGAATGGGCTGGCAAGAAGTATTTAAAGTCATAAAAGTCAAGGACCTACATCTAAGATCACTCTACCCAGCAAAGCTATCATTTAGAATGGAAGGGCAAATAAAGTGCTTCCGAGATAAGGTCAAGTTAAAGGAGTTCATCATTACCAAGCCCTTATTATATGAAATGTTAAAGGGATTTATCTAAGAAAAAGATCAAAACTATGAACAGTAAAATGACAACAAACTCACAACTATCAGCAACTGAACCTGAAAAAACAAAAACAAAAACAAAAACGAACTAAGCAAACAACTGGAACAGAAGCAGAATCACAGAAATGGAGATCACATGAAGGGTTATCAGTGGGGAGGAGGAGGGGGCGAATGGGGGAACAGGGAATAAGAATCATGATTGATTCTTATCTTATGGTAGGCACAAAATTGAAGGGGTGGAGGAGGTTAAGAATAGTATAGGAAATGGAGAAACTGAAGAACTTACAGGTACAGCCCATAGACATGAAGTAAAGGGGGGAATGCTGGTGGGAAGTGGGGGGTGCAGGGCAGAGGGGAATAAAGGGGAGAGAAAAAATGGGACAACTGTAATAGCATAATCAATAAAATATACTTTAAAAAATAAAAATTCATTGTAAAGAATTTTGATAAGTGTTTGCTGGCAATTCTAACAGGTATTTAAGAACTTTTAAAAAAAAAAATCACAGTGGTGAGAGAAACAGAATCTTGATAAAAATCCACTCCACTGAGGCAACAGGGCTAATTTTAGATGCTAAAGTTACAGAGAAGCATGTCAAGCAGAGTGAGAGAACAGGAGAGATGAGATGGGATAGAAATCCAGTATCTAAGACGCAAACAATATTTTTGACTATTCAGGTAGCAGTATGCCTATAATTAAATAATATTTGAAATATTGCATAGAGGAGTAAAAAGAGAAAGAGATTTAAATTTAACCCTGACACTTTAGGCTGTGCAAACATGAGCAAGTGACATCCTTAGTTTTTTTTTAAAAAACCGTAAAATGGAAATAATAATAAGTAGCTTTCAGTATTGTTTGGATCACAAAAAATAAATGTAAAGCACTTGACATATATCAGGCATACAATAACATGTATTGATAGCTATGATTGTTATAGGACTCTATCCTTTAACATTTACTTTTTAAGTAATTATTTATTCATTAAATTGTTATAATTTATTAATGGATACTATCAAATATGTGTCATCAAAGGAAGGGAGCAGTCTCTTTGAAGAACTCTGTCAAACTACAAGGGCATAAACACTTCGCCCTGGAGACCTGCACTGACAGATGAGGAAGTAACAGATGAGGATAAACCACTGCATGAGGGTAGCTGGATCAATGGCCAACTTCCTTCTGCCCCTTTTTGTCATTTACCCCCGTGTGGAGAGTCAGACAACCACGCTTACTTCCCAGGACCACCTTTGAGGGCCTCGCTGCTATGACACTATGCTCAGTTGTCCAAGGAGCACCTGGAGCCCAGGGTTGGGGTGGGCGCGGCCACTGTGGATGTCTGTGGAGTCGCTGGGCGTCACTGCAGGTGACTGTGACAGCCCGCTGACCTTTGCCAGGCTTTGTCTTCATCATTCACCTTCCTTCCCTTCCCTTTCTCTGTAGCTGGACTACTTGACTAACGTTGTAATCTCTTTTTTCTAGAATTCTGAAGGTGGACTCTATGTATGCATGAATACATTTTTGGCCTTTGGAAGGGAACACGTTGAACGTCATTTTCGAAAAACTGGACAGAGTGTATACATGCACCTGAAAAGACATGTGCGTGAGGTGAGAGATGCTCTTTTGGAGAACTGCCTTGATATCTTCCCTGTAACATCATCGTAGTGTGTTTATCACATGGAGGTTTTACTGTGCCCACATAACTCCTGATGCTCTTTGATGATGGGAAACAGAAACTGGACCGTTTGTAGAGAAATTCATAGAGTCCCCCAGATCTTACCTTAGCCAGTTTTATTTTTCTCTTCCTCTGAACCTGTGCTTCCAATTAAGAAGCTAGGAGTTGACTGGTGGAAAAATGATCAAGTAAAAAAAATACAAAAAAGTACAGAAAATAGTACTGGAAACACTCATGGATCCAAAAATCAGAAATAAAAAATATTTGAATATTTTTGCTTCAGATTTTTTTTCAGCAAGAGAAAGAGCTTTCTTGAAAGTTGAAGTCCCTTTTGTTTCCCTCCCTCCCAGGAGTAACCATAGCTGTGAAGTTGTTGTTTCTCATTCCTATGCATGTCATTATATTTTATTTATGTATACGTATTCATCATCAATATATGGGATAACTGTGTGTTTTAAAGATGTGGATAAATACTATCATACTCTTACCTCTAATTCCATGTAAAACTTTCCCTTTAAGCATTGTTTTGAAATTTGTTCATGTTGTGATACATTTGGATGTGCTTAATTCAATTTAACAGTTGTTTGGTATTCTACCTTGTCATTTATTATTCTGTTCCATTGATGAACATTTAGATTGTTTCTAGTTTTCTGCTTCTATTAACAATGTAACACTTAATATTTTTATCCTTTTCTCCTGGGGTACATGCTCAAGTTTTTTCCACAACTATATGTCGAGGTGGTAATGCTGGCATGTGGGTGTGTTTATCCTTAATTTTACTGATATTGATAAATTCTTCCCCAGACTGGTTGCACCAATTTAAACTCCTATCTGCAGTGAACTCTAGTTTTCCACAGCCTCACCAGTGCTTGGCCAGACTTTTGATTTTGCCAATCTAATGGTTGTGAAGTAGCATCTTTCTGTGCCAAATATTTGGCATTTCTTTCTGTGAGAATTGAAACTCTTTGTATATATTTATTGGCCATTCTGGTTTTCTCTTCTCTGATTTGCCTATTTATATTTTTTGACCTATTTCTCAACGGATATTTCTTTTTGTTAAAGGTTTTATTTCGTTCTTTTCACATTCTGGATATATAAACTCTTTGCTTTGTTGATGAATTATTTTGTAGAAGAGAAGTTTTGAATTTTGACATACTAAACTTTTATAAATTGTGGTTTTTGTATTGTGTCTAAGAAATTGTTTTTCAACTTAAGGTCATAAAGATATTCTGACTCTTTTCTTTTTTTAGAAGCGCGTGTGTGAGCGCACATGTGTGTTTAACATTTTAGATCTTCAATCCATCTATAATTTATTTTTACATTTCTGTGAAGTGTGGGAATCAACATTTTATTTCTCATATTGATAATCAATTATCCTACTATTACTAGAGTAGTGCAATCTTTCCCAATGATTTTTCAGTGCCATCTTTTTTATATTTTATCGTGCCATTACCACGTGGATCTGTTTGGGGGCTCAGTCCTTTTCTGTTCATTCTATGGAACATTTTTCTGTCTCTGCGTTGGTGTGACAAGCCTGACGTGTAGTAGTGCGAGCACTTTTTCCATGTTAATTTTTCACAGAACTTTCCTGAGTTTAGACATTTATTTTTCTCTATGGATTTTGGAATCAGTTTATGTAGTTTAAAGAATCCTGTTGAGATATTGATTACGGTCACCTTCAGCCTGTTGATTAATCTATAGCCCACATCACTGTGTAAGTTCCATGAGGGCAGGTATTTTTGTCTGTTTGCTTCACTTCTGTGTCCTCAGCACTTAACAGTATCCAGCACATAGTAGGTGCTTCCTAAATATTTATTGAATGACTATTCAACATGCCCTATCTTTCTATTTATTCAGGGCTAAAATGTCCTTCGACAATATTTTGTAATTGTCAGTAAAGGAGCTTTTATTTTATCAGTTTTTTTAAAGGTACTCTGTAATTTTTGTAACTATTGTAACGTGTGACTTTTATTTTTTATGCATTTTAATTGATGATTGGTGGTGTTTGGGGATGTTATCAATTTTCAAATGTTGATTTTATGTTTGGCAACACTGTTCAATGTTCACTTTAGTCCTAATAGTTTGTAGACTATCTTGGATCTTCAAAATCAGCAGTTTTCAACCTTTTCATCTCATGATACACATAAACTAATTACTAAAATTCTGCAGCACACCAAAAAATATATTTTTTGCTGCTGACAAAAAATAGGTATAATTTTGATTTATTCACACCAGACAGCTATTGTTTTGTTGGCTTTTGTCATTTTTTTCTTCGACAATCTAAGGGAAAAGAGGTCAGTGCCACTGACTAAATAGTCAGGTATTACGGTGTTTTAAAAATTCTTGCAGCACGCAAGTTGAATATCGCTGTAGTAAATCATCAATGCTGATTTGAAATTCATCTACTCTCTCACCTTAGCCTACTTAACGTCTCCTCTGTTTAAATTTTGGACACTGAGGGGAGATCCCAAATTAGACGGTAGGCAGAGTAGAGTGAAGAGGAAGAAGACAGGCCAGGGGGTCAGATAAGCCATAAACTCAATGATTATCTTCAAAGTAATCTAATGTTAGCCTAATATTATTTGATTTACATTTACTGCGCCTGTTAGTTGAGACATAGCAGTTCTTGTGAAGTCCTCTTTGTCCCACATATTTCTTCATATAAAGTGATGGAAATTTTTGCAGAACTGGGGGAAAAAATGAAACAGCCTCAGAGACTTGAAATAACTTGCTCACAGTCACAAAGTTAGTGGCAGATTGTTAGAGTGCTGGTAATCTTGTACAGTTAGTTCTGCCTCTGAAATTTTAAGTTAAATATTTCACTCTCTGCCCACATCCCTCTCTTGGTTTAGCTCTTTCACTTATTTATCCTGATTTTGATGCGTCGTTCTCCCTTTTTGATACCTTCTGGCCTGTGGCTTGTCCAGGCAGCCCCATCCCCTGTTTGGTTAGTCTGCTTATCAATCAGGATCCATGGCTTTAAACATTCTCTTGTCCCCAATACCCGTGATGGCCCTTACCCCCTTGTCTGCCTCTTTCACCATCCTCAGAGCTCCAGCCAGTCGTCCCATCGGTAGGTAGCATTCTCTGCTTTCACTGGCGCATCCTAGAGGTCCCGCGCTGCCTTGGGGTCTGGGACCATGTCCTGCTCCTGGCCCTCCCCTGTGCTGTGCCCTGCCCCGCCCAGCAAACCTAGTCTGCACTCTCGTCCGCTCCAGACCTCGGATGCTTCCCTCCCTCCTGATTCTCAGAAAACAATTTGCCTTGTACTTTACAGAGGAAACGGGGACCGCTGGGCAGAAACTTCCCGAACTCCTTTCTTGCCTCCTGGGGACTCACGTGCATCCGGTTCCCCCGTCTCAGCAGAGAGCTTGCTCTCTGTGTCCTCCTGGTCCTGTCTCTTCCTTGTCGGAAACCTGCCCTTCATTAGCTCCTCTCCCTTTGGTATGCCCAGTGGCTCCCTCTTCTGCCTCTTATTCCTCCCACCTTAAAAAAGAACGCACCACGGAATTGCCTCTCTAATGCGTCCTCCTTTAGTCATCCCATCCTTCGATTAATGCTCCTTTAAAAACTTGTGTTCTCATCATGTCTACTACATCTTCCTCTGAGTTCAGCATTGCAGTCTGATTGGCCTCCTGTGAATTCATGACACCTGCGATGGTGTCAGTGACCTCTCCGATGTCACGCTTAGTGGGTATGTTTTAGCCCTGATTTTACTTGACTTTTTGAGTATTTGAACTTGTTTTCCTTTTGGAACTGCTCCTCTCCTGCTTTCTTGGGTACCGTTCTTTCCTGGCTTTCCTCCTGCCTTCCAGATGCCCTTTCTCACCTTCTTCCCTAGCGCCTCTTCCTTCACTACCCCCTTAGACGTCTGCATTGCTTAGGTTTCCATTTGACCCTCCTGCCTTCTTTCCCTGAAAGCTGCTCTTCCTTATTACTGTCGTGCACGTCTTGGTTGAACCACTCTCTCTAAGCTGATGACTTCCACATCAGTCTCTTTCCAGAGCGGAAGATCTGACTCTGACCTGGCTCTTTCTACTTGGAACACCTCATAGGTACTGCAAACTCACTGTGCCCAGCCTGAACGAGTTATCTGTCCTCTTTCTCAGAGTGGTTCTGGGTCTTGAGTTCTGGAAACCTAGACATCCTTTGGATCCTGCTTTCATTCCATGATTGGTTGGTGACCAAGTCTCGTCTGGGGCTCCCAAATAGCCCTGAAGTCCGCCCTGTCCTCTGCATCCCTGTTCTTCTTGCCTGAGTGCTCATCAGCCCTTAAAAGGACTCATGCTGACCAGTTCCCTGACTGGTCGCCTTCCATCAGACCTGCTGCCTTCATTCTACCCAGTCTGCATGCTGTACCCAGAGTGAACTTTCCAAATGCTTATATCTGTGCATCTGTGGCTTAAATCTCTGATGTATCTCCCTTTGTTGCAGGATGAAGTCCAGACTCTTGGATTACAAGGCCCTCCATGATCTGGTCCATGTAGCCTTTCTAACCTTCAATTTTACTCCACTAGCTTTGTGCTCTAGACATAGCCAACCACTTCTTGTTTTTGGAACACATGGACTTCATGCCTTTGTACAGGTGTTTTTGTTGTTGTTTGTCTAGGATGCATTACTTAGTTCTACCCCTACCCCTCTTTTACTTGTTGCATTGCCTGTTGTCAGCATATCTGTCTCTCTGTTCATCACCCATCATCTATCCATTATCATCCATCCAGCAAATACTTGCTGAGCGGCTGTTATATGCCAGGCCCGCTGTTCTTACCTGATCATCTCTGGGCACATACTCTACCTCCTGAAGAACTATCATTTCCTCCTTTTGATATTATTGAATTCAGTAAGTCTGAAGGAAGGATGCCATAAACTTCCCTAGAGAGATTTCAAGTGACCTCCAGGATTGTTAAATGCATCTACAGTGCAGGTTTATTTTATCCCTTTCTGAGGCAGGAAAGTGGAGGGGCGAAGAACAGAGGCTCTGAGACCAGGGAGGAGAGGGATTCCAAGAGAGTGTCGTGAATTTGGCATTAGTATTTGGAGAAACAGGTTTCTGAGCTGAAGTGTTCCATAATTCTCACATTCCTAAGATGTGAACTGTAAACTTATAGTAGAAGCTATAAAAATGTCATGTGAGAATCACAAAGATGAGCCAGCCTTCAATGTCAAAGGGTAAAATGTGGGAAAGGAGGCTTGGAGCTAATAACAGCACGGACGGAAGAAGCTGCAAGGCCCTGATGCTGTCATAACATGTGATCACCACCACATGGCAAGGCACAGGTCGAACCCCGACACCATAACATGTGAAAAGGTGTCGGGGTTTGACCTGTGCCTTGCCACGTGTCAGAGACATGCTCTTTTTCTATTAGCTAAAAGACTATACGATGTGGTCATGTCGTTTTGGCCAGTGGAAACAAATATTTTTGTAATCCTATTTGAGAGTAAACTTTATTGTGTGAGTGTCAGAGGGTAACGAATGACCTCTTTTGCATGAACACTTGATGGGTGTTTATTTCATTGCTGCCAGGCATTTCTGTGATAGGTAGAGACTGCATGACGCTTAGGGTGGCAACGTAGCCAGCCATCGGGTGGTGCTCCAGAAGTGTTTGGGGAGGTTAGATTGATGTGTAATACGACCAGAATATCAGTGACTACATATTAATATTTATTAAATCATTCAGTAGTAATTTTTGGGCACACCCAGGCCCAACCACTGGGGACCTAGCAGGTAGCAGGGGTCAGCGTCCTCCGGAGTAGCTCTCATACTGGGCGTGGACGCCAGCCCCTTGGGAGGATGTGCCCATTTGAAGTTGAAGCATCTACTCCTACTTCACTTTGATGCCTGGTTCCATTTCCCTTTCCAGAAGTGCTTTCTTTATAACTTGGTGAAAATAATCAGGTGGAACAATAGCATTGCCCTTCACTTACCTCCATTGACCTGGGTCAAGTTCCTGTTTATCCTGGAATCTCTAATCCAGGTTGAATATTTCCTCTGGACTTTTATAAAACCTGGGAACCTCTGAGATTTACTCCCCCCATCTCCCTCACTCCTCTCAATTGTCTATTCCATGGGATGCATTTTAACAATTTCTTATTTTCTTTTCAGAAGGTAAAAGGGGCATCTGGTGGAGCTTTACCAAAAAGGAGGAATTCCAAGATTTTTTTAGGTAATGTACATAGTTATCAGTAGTGTGCCTAGATTTTGTGCGTGTGTGCACATGTGCATGTGTGTGCGTGTTTGATTTTGAGTAATAGGTTGTTTATTGCTCTACTAGTCAAGGATGAGCGGAACTACTTTAGCTTGAGATGACCTGACTCCATTGCATGGTTACCTAGTGGTGATGGACGTTAGTACTCTTAGTCGGATTAGTGTTTTGAAGCAATTATGCTTATAGCAACTGGGCAGTAATTGTGATTCTGCTTCTGGTCTCTTTTCCCACTGCTCTTAAAGAAGAACCAGTCTCACTTTTTTCTTTTTCTTTTCATATTATCCAAACTACAGACTTTATTTGGTTTCACTGTTTTTCTACTAATGTCCTTTTATGTTTCAGAATCCCATGTTGCATTTAGTTTTCACGTTTCCTTAATCCTGTCTAATCTGGGGTAGTTCCTCACTCTTTTTGCCTTTAATAATTGTGACATTTTTGAAGAGCAGTGACCAGTTACTTTTTTTCTTTAGTCGTGACCAGTTACTTTGTAGAATGTATCTCAATTTGGGTTTGTTTGATGTTTCCTCATTATAAGTCTGAGGTCATGCGTTTTTGGCAAGAAGACCACAGAGTGATGTGAGCTCTGTGTAGCACCGGGGGCACGGGATGCTTTGCCTTCATACCAGTGATGTTACAGGGTGCCTGCCGGGCTTCTCCACTGTAAAGTTACAGTGTAATTAATAAATGGGTTGCAGTGATATTTCGAGACTGTGCTATCTTGTTTCTCCTCAAGGTTTTGCTCACTAATTTTATCATTCATCTGTGGACCTTGCCTGCAACTGTGATTGCTGGGGTGTTTGACTAACAGTGATTTTCTGTCCCCTTCATTCAGAAGAGCTGGTTTTGCCTATGCAAATGAGTACTGGTTTCTAATGATACATTGTCATGATCGTGTGTCATAGTAAGCTTCTGATAATGGTATTCCCAGGAAAAGAAGTAGTTTGACCAAGCAAGTTTAAATGCCTAAATGCCTGGGATTATTATTTGAAAGGAATTTCAGAATCATTTGCATATTACAATTTCATTTTGGTAAAATTTTCACATATATACACAGCTGTATACGTATATGTATACATGTGCGCACACACATGTATACACATGTATTTGTGCATACATGTATATAGTTGTTCATATGGAAAGTGATACAATACTTAATAAATAATAATACTAGAATAAACTCTGTTTTGCATTTTCACAACTGTAAACCTACTTTTGCCCCACCCGGTGTATGTAAATATTGATATGTTTGTATATGTGCATGCACATCTATATATGTAGGTATATACATACATGTGTATATATGCATGTTTACACACACACACACGTGTATATGGCTGAGAGTCTGGAAGAGTCTGGCAGATACACTCCAAATTGTTAAAAGTAGCTCTTCCCTGGTGGTGTGAGTGAGGTGATTTTAATTTTCTTCTTTTTGCTTATCTGTTTTTAATTTTTTGTATAACAAATGTATGACACTGTTGTAATAAAAAGACATACTCATTATTTGAAAAGCAAAGCCATTGGAAACAGTCATAGAGCTGGTTTTTCTTCCTGCTTTGATTCTCCATCTTGCCCTTTAACCTTGTTTCTTTTACTAACAAGACTTTGGGGTTTGATCTTTTAGTGATCATTTTGGTCACTAAAATGATGACGGATGATAGTGTCAAGAAACTGTTTTAAAAAATTAACATAAAGGGAAGCACTGAGGCTCTGTTCTTTAGTCAGTGGAGACCCCATTCGCTGCTTCTAGGGAGCCCTCACCCACCAGCTCCCGTGGGTGGGCCTCTGCTACAGACTTGCTCCGTGTGTTCCCGGCGGTCCATACCAGGAGGCACAAGATGTGCCTAAAACTCACAGCCTGGCAAAAATGTCCTCTTTAGACTGTACCAGTTTGTTTTAAAAGTTAAATTTGAGCCTAATTAGCGCTCTAGGGCTTGCCCCCATTTCTCTCTATTGTGTTATACCTGATTCCTCAAATTTATGTTGGTCACTTCATCCCAGTAAGAATTTAGTTTTGCAAGCCCTCATTTCAGCCCTCTCAACAGATGCTGCCCATCTGTCAGTGGCAGGCACTTTTCTCTTGTCACCCTGATCATGGCTATTTTCAAGTTGGTGTGGCCTGTAAATGAACTGCAGTGAAGGACTGTATTAAGATTACACATGGCTATGTAACAGAAAACTTAAATTACTGGTGAGTTTAAACAAGATAGTTGTTTATTTTTCTCATGTAGAGGATGCAGGGAAGCAAGAAGTCCAGGCTGATGTCACGGCCTCGTATGTTCTATTAGAGTCTAGAGTCTTCCCATGTTTCTGCTTCGCCCTCCATCCTGGCCTGTGATTTCCAGCCTCATGGTTACTTCATGGTCCAAGATGGCTGCTGGAACTCCGGCCATCACACCCCCATCTGGAAAGCAAGAAAGATGAATGGGGAAGGACAAAAATCTAATCTTTCTGCGGAGTTGCTTCTTTTTGTCAGCCTTCTGACAGGTCTTCAAGCAACACTTCAGTTTATACTCTCTGGTCAGGACTTGGACGCATGGCCACACCAGGTGCTGCACAGGAGACCGGAAAGTAAAGTCTATTAACTGGCTTCATTAAATAAACCTGTTACTATACAAGAAGGGGAAAATGGACACCAGGAGGCAGCTAGTGGCTTCTGCCAAAGATTCACTCCCTAAAAGGGACATTGGAGTCATCTCTTCACGGAGAGGAAGAGAATCAGAACTCTCTTGCAGTCCCTCTTGTTTCTTTGAATAGAAAGTACTTTTTCACTTCTATTGAAATGTAGTTATGACGCCCCTGCTCCTTCCCAAAACACACGTAGATGACTAATACTTTCTCCTGGAGAGAGGGTTTTTTCCACGTTCACTTGATGACTAGTGAATAATTCCTTTTCCTTCGGTTTAGCAGTCACATTAAAACCATTGAACCACTCAGTTATGACCTTCCGTACTGATTTTATAAGGGAAACTGAGGCCATCAGCTGGTGTGCAAGGGCGTACCCCGAGCCTCCTGAGCACCATCCTGCCTTCGGCAGCCAAGTTGCTCTCCCTGCTGCGCATGCGTGCCTCAAGTGAGCTCACAGCTGACGGGCCCTCCCTCAGCTCTAGGTTTTGCTGGTGTGAGTGTGTGTACATGAGTTTTACAAACAATGACAACTATGGATAACTTTTGAGTCATTTACATTTTATACTTCTTTCTGCATTTAGGATTTTAAAAATATTTTTTGAATGTATAACACATGGATAAAATTTAAAATTGCAAAGTTATAAGCAGCTCTATAATGAAGAGTAAATTTCTTTCCCCCCCATCCATGTCTCCCAGCTCCTTGGTTGGTCTCCCCAAAGACACGCAGTATTTTCTTCTTGTACATCCTTCTATGTCTTGTATATTCTCCCAGCGATAGTCTATGCATGTACCACGCCTTTAGACATTTTCCTGTAGGCAGTGGTGAGCCTTTAACACTTTGGTTCCCAAATTGTGCTCTGGGACACCCTGGGGTGCTGCAACAGACTCACAGGGGCACCTTGAGATATTTTAACTCTGTAAGGGAGCACAGTGATGCTTGAACATTGCATGGACCATTATTAGCTCACGCAGTTTCACTGTTAGAGTACCCAGTATTCCTTTCAATGACTTCATCTCTCTGTGAAGCTGGTTTTTCATGGTTTGTATGGTAAAAGGCTCGTACCATGTGAAAGTAAATATGGAAAGGGAAGAAGGGAGGCCTTGTCCAGTCTGATTCAAAAAGAAGTTGTGTTCTGCCCAACAGGTGCACTCATCCCATAAGTAAGGAATTGTAGTTATTTGACAATGAATAGAACATTTTGTTCTTTCAATTTATGTGTGTTATTTTTTCAGATGGCTACTGAGTAGTTAGAACATAAGTACTTATTAAGTTGGTTGGACCTAACTACTAACTTAATAAACAGAACTGCGAGGCCTTTTCTGGGGCGGGGGGGGCGGGGGCTGGGGGCTTCCTGCTGCCATGCGAAAGTTGCTGGGGTGCTCCGAACTGAGGAGGGGCGGGGAGCTCTGCATTAATGTTTCAAGTGAGAAAGGGACGCTGTTGTAGAAAGATAACTTACAACAACACAACAGATTGTGAATTTTAGAAATAAGCTGATACAATACTTACTGTTCTATGAGATGGAAGGAGAGGAGTGGATGTAAGAGGGTCTAGGATCTTTAAAGGAATATCCAGAACTCAGGATATGATTCTGGCCTAATCCTGCATATTTTTTACAATAAAGCTACAAATGTGTATAGATGTCTAATTAACTGCTAATGCATTTGATAAGAATACTGTATCTTTGGTACATCATAAAAATAGTGTTGTCATATTTTTATTAAGTACCCCCCCCACATTCATAAATAGGAGTGAACGAGTTAGGCTTTTCTGTGTCTGTGGGCTGCGACTTCAAAGAGCTACCTCGACGTCAGAGAGCTTACATTGCATTTTTTTGGGATTTAGCCTTGGCATTTCTCCTAGATGAGAAACAGGTTGTAGAGAGAGCATTTGGGGAAAGTTCCAGAAACGGGCCTGCGTGGAAAGCTCACCTGTGCCTACCGTGACCAGAAGGCTGCAGGGAGTTCCATTTTGCCTTCCCTTCTGAAGAAGAGGGTCTGTGCTCATCGGTCTTCCCCTTCTGTTGACGGTAAATGGTTGGTGAGCGTTCACAGCAGTGGAGCAGGCAGACCACTCACCTCCAGCGCACAGATCAGAGTCAGCGTGGTCAGGCCGGGAGAGCCCGGAGCTCGGCACAGAGCCCTGGTTTTCCATGGGGATCCATTCCTCACTGTGCTGCTTCGTAGTCCTGGCAGCTACTTCTTGGAAATGGGTGTGACCTCGGCCACTTCTCTCAGAGATCTGAGAGGATCGTTGAAGTAGAGTTGGGGAAGCGGTATTTTTTTTTAATGTGTTTTTAAACTTACGGAAAGGGCAGGAATTACCTGTTACTAGCCATGATGGGAAGTGATTGCTGGGAGGCGGTGGGGGTCCTAATCCTGCCGGCCCCTAGAGCATGCTTACTCTGTAGCTTCCTCAACTAGATGTTTTTTGGGGTGGTGAGACTAAGTAGACAAATTTGGAAATTACAGATTTATCATTAGGATTGTGGGGTCATATATGTTCAGGAGAAACCTTAGATTTATCCCTTAAAATAAGAGTATAGGTTCCCTCTGTTGACTTTCCCTAATTTGAATTAAGATGTCTGGGAAAGGTCATTGTCCCCTTCCATTCTATTGACCTAAAAATAAAAGTAAACGATAAACTAAGTGTTAAGAAGTCCAACAAAGTTCTGCTTTTTTTTTTTTTTGGCATGACAGCAGTCTTGCTTCTTTTGAAACACGTATCAGTTACCAATTAAAAAAAAACAAACAAAAGCCAAACCACAGCAACCCTTTTGATGCTCTTGCTTTGCTGTTGTCCTTAACATGGTGGGTGTTTAGCTTCTTAGTCTTCTCTCACAGACATTTACTGAGTGTGTGGTGTGCTCTGGGCCCTGTGCAGGGGCTGGGGACATGGAAGGTGAAGGCGACCTGTTTCCTGCTCTTCAGCTTAGTCTGGAAGCGTTCCAAGCTCGTATCTTCTCCACACTCAGACCACACGGCAGATCCCCCACGATATTGTGGTCTTCCTAAAACTTTTTCCAGGATTTCCTTGGAGCTGGGCAGCCAAAACGAAGGGAAAGCACTTCAGTCATGTTGCCAGGAGTGTAGAGAAGGCGGTGATGGTGATGGTGATGAGGAAGGTGGTGGCAGCCACTAGCTGTGGAGCCCTGAGACCTGCCAGGTCCTATGCCAGGTGCCTTAGACCCTTCCTGGAGAGCTTACATTCCATTTTTGGGAGGATTTAGCCTTGGCATTTCTACTTGATGAGAAACAGGTTGTACGAGAGAACATTTGGGGGAAGTTTCAGGAACGGGCCTGCGTGGAAGGCTCACCTGTGCCTACCGTGACCAGAAGGCTGCAGGGAGTTCCATTTTGCCTTCCCTTCTGAAGAAGAGGGTCTGTGCTCAGACCCTCTTGTTTAATCCTGTTAGCAGTCTTGGGGAGAGGATAACATTACCCTTAGCTTACTCATGAGGAAAAGGAACATGGAAAGAATTGCCCAGCGTTACATCGCTAGTAAACGTCAGGGTGGGATTTTTTTGGACTTAGTTTTTCATTATTTTTGGCCAGGTGAGATTTGAATTAGCATTAAGTGAACGTGTTTTCTGTGGTAAAAAGGCACCTACATACTATGTTATATAAGCTGAATCTATATATAACAACAAAAAGTTTGTACTTTGGTTACTTAAAACTGTTATAAACAATACAATAAAGAAAAAGTTAAGAATAGGGAAAAGTTCATCCACTTACAATTTTCATTTTTTTAGGTTTCTTTGTTTCTTTCCAGTTCGTGTCTGTGAGCATAACTTGTACAAAGTTGTCTTTACAGTGAAAATGATTTTGTATTTTTTAGCATTAGTGTAGCATAAATGTTTTCATATTTCTGCCTACGCTAAATAAATATCATTTGAATAATAGTCTTTTGGATTGAACACCATCCCATAGATATTGGGGCATTTAAATTTGTATAACATAGAATATAGATATAGAATATAGTATATAACATAGATGTAGATATTGAAGCGTTCAAATTTTTGTAACATAGAATGACTATCTGAATCATTTCCTTGAACTAAATGCCCTTCTTAAACTCTTAGAATCTTCTTTAACATTATTTTCTGTGAAACGAACCTCTTTTGGCTATCTGACAATGTTTTTGTTTCTCTATTTGGCATTTCTGAATCTTGTCATTTAGGATCTTTCATTAAAATGTTTAGACTGTGTTTTAGCTATATTTCATTTTCTACTTAAAACTGCTCTCCCTTTGAGAATTCAAGAGCAGAGCTGTACACAAAAAGATGCTCGGTTTTTGGTTGGAGGCACGCCACAAGGTAATGACAGAATCTGTCTAGATCATTAACTATTCAGCTGGCTACTTCCTCTAGTAAAATAACTTTCTCGTATCTACAGAGCCCATGTCTGTGTGCCTGTTTATGTGTGGGCTTGTGTGTGTGTGAGTGGGATGTGGCTCAGGAGCTCTTTGTCACCATAGTTCCAAACATCTAAATATACAAACATGACCTGGGATGCTGGCATCATGTGAACACCAGGCCGAAATGTCCATGTAAATACTGTGACAGGACATTTCTTGAGCCTTCACCTAACCTTTACCAGAGATCAGCCAAGCAAAGAGGCGATGACTTGGTACAACAGTCTAGAGGACCTCATCCTTCTTACTGAACGTTCTTCTCAGCCTGAGGAAAGCAGGACTATGTATAGTATGGAGTTTCCCTCCCTGGTGAACGGTGCCGTATCTCAGCAGCTCTCACCTGGGGAGGAGGAGTGAGGGGGAGAGAGAGAAAGAAGGAAGTTGAAATTGCATTTTTCAATAATAGCTACTATAATTGACGACCTATTCTGTGCCAGGTCTCTTGTGTACAGTTTTTATATATTCTCCATACAAAGTGTGTGAGATAAGTGTTATCATCTCCATTCTAGAAATGAGGGAGCTAGGCTTAGAGAGTTTGTGACTTGCTCAAAGTAACATTAATTTTTGGAGCCAGCATTGAGCTAGGTTTATCTACGCTGAAACCTGTGTACTTTCTTCCATATAACAGTGTTGGGAAAAAATACTCCAACCCATTCTCATGAGGTCAGGAGCCAGGCTCCTGGCAAATCATAATGAACAGTCAATATTCCTATATAAACATCTCTTAAGAACTGAGTATCTACATATGTTTCATTGTAAAGCTGTATGATATGACTCAGTCTTCTTTGTGCATCTGTCACTTACAAATAAGTATTCATAACTTAGGACAGATGGAAAGGCCTTTCACTCCTGGTTTGGGGCAGATGGATGGCCGTGTCAGAGGAGGGAGTTGTCAATGCCATGCCCTTGGTCTGTCTTCCATGTGGATTTCTGGCTTTCCCAGTGAGTGCTGCCTCGGTGTGGAATGTTCTTTCTTCACGTCTTGTTCTTTGTTTTTGTTTTCTCCTCAGATCTAGATACTGATGACGATTTAAATAGCGACGATTATGAATATGAAGATGAAGCCAAACTTGTTATATTCCCAGACCACTATGAAATAGCACTACCAAATATTGAGGAGTTACCTGCCCTGGTCAGTGAGTGTGCACGGCTGCTAGCTAGATGCGCGTGACTCTCTGTGTCAGGTGTGTGTGCGTGTGCAGTGTGTGTGCGCTCGGGGGTGGGGAAGGCGGGTTGAATGAGAGAAGAATGAGCACGGACAGAAGCACAAAAGGCGGTCAGGGTTCCATTTCGGGAGCTTTGGGCCAAACACCCTCCGCTGCTTGTTACCTCCCATGCTGTCTGGGCTTTGGGCTCCCTGGGCCGGCTCCCTCCCGGTGGGCTGGCTTCTTGCTGCCTGTGACTCACAGTCTGTTGCTTAGATTTTTCAAACTGTGGCCCCAAGATGTGCAGGGGCTGCAGCAGAGGCTCTGTCTTCTGTTCTGAGGAATGACTGACTATATTTTGACCTCATCTGCATGTTGGTCTTCCATATAAAATTTTGTTTGGGTTAAAATAAAAGAGGTCCGCTGCTGAAACAACAGCAGTATGATGATAAAAATAACCCAATATTTACACGTCACTGTTCTGCAGGAGCTCAGTGGGGACATGAACCTACTTTTCAGTTTAGTTTTTCATGAGGACGAAGATTCCTTTCTAGGTTTTAGACTTTAGATTTAGTGGTGAGTTTTTCTCTCTCCCTTCCCTTTTTCCCTGTGGCACGACTTTCATCTTCCTGAACAACCTAACGTGGGGGTGGTAGGGCGCTGGGAGGCGGCCAGCTTCTGTTTGCCTTCGATTCGGTTCTCGAACCCTGAAAGTGGGCGCAGCGCTCCTGCAGGGGCCCTGCCCGTTCTCCTGTTCTTTCCTCATGTCCTGCATCGTCTCTGCCGCTGCATCCTTCTTGCTTTTGTTCTCTATTCTTTTCCTCTTCACCACTTGGTGTTCACTCAGAGTTCTCAGATAGCCGCGGGGGCAGGGGGCAGCGTCAGTCTGAGTGTAGACATGCCAGCTTATTTTTCCCCTTCTCAAACTCTGTCAGAACCAAAGCCAGGACTTTCGGTCCCAGAGTCTTCAGGACTTTCTGTGACCCTATCTAGAGCCACCTGCTCACTTGCCCCAGCCAAGAGGGGACTTTTGTGCTTGAGGTTCCCATGTCATTAGGGGCCAGGTTTCCACTGTTCAACCTCTTTTGCCCCTGACTTACTTTATACCTAAATATGTGACCATAGAAATGAAGATTTTCTGTACATAGGTATTGTAGCTGTTTCCTCAATTTTTTAGATGTAACGTGTCCTAAGGACACACCTTTAGCAACGCCTACAGAATTAAATTACCTCTGCTGTTTCCAATTCCTTGTGTTGACTCATGTAGTTGTTACCAAGGATAAAATATGTGAGTGGACAAAGCGGTCTTGCCTTGCCCCACTGTGCCTGATATTATATACTACCGCTTGTATCTTTGTCATACTGAGAGTTGTTATTGCCGTTCTCTGATATAACTCTGTGTCTGCTGTCAGAAAAGGAGCAAAGAAGCACATTGTGAATAAATGTCATGAGAAGTGATTTTTCTCCTATTCACCTGTGAGGGAAAAGTCTTTATGTGAAGAAGTTAGTAAAAAAGTTTTTAAATACTTTAACTTATTCCTATATTCAGAGCATAATTCAAAGTGTGAATACTTTTATTTAAAAGTGCAGTGACATAGAAACCTGAATTCAGCTATGCATATCATAATTTCAATACAGTCTTTTAGAATGAAGAAATATTTTAAGAACTAAAAAAGAAGAGAGAATTATTTGGAAGGGGAGATTGAAGGAAAAGCCTAGAGTTATCTGGTAGGATTTATATACATTTTATTTTCATGCTTTTGCTACATTTTGGTGTTTAATAATTTTTTTTTAAAGTTTTTAAATAACAAGCATTATTGAGCTCAAAATCACTCAACCAGGTCACCCTTCCTCAGCTCTTGAGCCTCTTAGAACTGAAAACATTCAGTTTCAGGTAGTTACTCTGTAGATTCTACCAAAAAGTTTAACTACCTCTTAGTAATACTGGGTTCAGAGAGACACAGCATTTGGGGCTTGGTAAGGGCTTTATAATCTGGGATCCAGTACCTTGTTTTAGACATCAGGAGCTCAAGCAGGGGTGTGCTTGTAAATGGTTGGCAACCAGCTCCCTGGGGGAAAAGTCCTGCTTTGTAGTGCTTGCTGAGTTCTGTGGTGTGAATACTGCTACTGCGGCTGATTTCAGGCTGATTTCAGGCCAATTTCAGGCTAATGACATGGTGTCGCTGAGTGCTGTGTGTTGGGAAGGGAGACACAGCAGCATGCCATTATAAATAATCCCTATCATTCACATAATGTAGATATGAAAAACCTCAAGAGACCACAGGTAATAATATGATATAATAAGACCATTACAAAGTGCTTTGAATATTTGTTACCTTTAAAAAATATTTTTTATTTAATGATAAGATTATATAATTTAATTTTTAAATAATGTCTGTGTTTCATAACCGTGATACATAATTTCTTAATATTTAGCAGTTGAGTCTGTGAGCCTGTTTGAGCCAGTTCCGGAACCCCACTGAACGTGAGGCCTCCGGAGACTTGGGAGGGAGCCAGGGCATTCATTACTAGTAACAAGGTCTCTCACTTCACTCCCGATAACAAATCCAGGGAAAGATAATTTACAGTATAATTACAGGGTGATGTACCCTGACCTTCAGTTATGATCCATGCAAGGGGCCTCTAAGTGATTTTAGGTGATTTTCTGAAAACACTGGATCAGTGTCTTTTAGTGGCCCAGAATTTAAGGAAATTTTGTGGAGTGTCACAGGAAGAATATTTAAAAAAAAGAAATATTATATCCAGATCTTAAAAAATACTGTGCATTACAAACCAGAACACTTAATATCTAGTGGGGTAGAGAAAATTCAAATGAGGACTAGGAAGAGCTTGAGGTAGACAGTGAAAAAAGTGTGAAGGCAGCTTTAAAAAAGGCTCCTAAAATCAGGAAGGGGCTGGCAGTGACCTCAGCGCTATTCTCCAGGGCCAGCCCCAGAAGGCAAGGAAGAGATGAATGTTGGTGACTAAAGGAAAGGGTAGCTATATAGCAGTGCTTGTGGCGAGAGATGAATGGGAGTATATTTGAGAAGGTTTTAAATTAGATTTTTGGGTGTCTGCTCTGTAATGGAGTAAAAACTTTTTGAGGGCAGGGACTTTTTGCTTATTCCTGACTGTGCCTCGCCTGCATTGTCAACTGGTAGTGCTCAGTATAACCTTAGGGAGTTTTAAGCTGGGGAGGGATAAGGTCTAATATTCATAGCAGATCCCTCTGGCTGCTGGAGAGAGACTGGGGGGACCTGCCGGGTGGCAGTCCGGGCGAGCTGTGAGGGTGGTTGGAACTGGGATGGGTGTGTCAAAAGCAAGAAGAGGTAGCCCCGATGGGTTTTGGATGTAGGACTGATGGGAATTGCCCATGGGCTGGGTGGGGGTGGGACGGCTGTGGAAGGAAATTCCTCCGTTGTCTCTTAATGAGTTCTAGGATCAGTCAGTGCTACCCAGGGGAAAATATTCTGCATGAAGCTCAGCTAATTGTGCAGGAGGTTAGAGATGCAGAATGTAAATTTTTGTTAAAAAATTAATTTCTTAACAGCTCAGCGGCTTTTATTATATTCAGAGTTGGGCACCCATCACCACTCTCTCATTTTAGAGTATTTTTATTACCCTCCAGCCATCACCTCTCAAGCTGTCATCCTCCCCAGCCTCTGGCCATCCCTGATCTACTTTCTGTCTCTATAGATTTGCCCAGTCTGGGCATTTCATATAAGTGGAATCATATAATACATGGTTCTTTGTGGCTGGCTTTTTTTCACTTAGCATATATTTTTAAGATTTATCCATGTTGTAGCATGTATCAGTGCTACGTTTCTTTTTATTGCTAAATGACATTCTATTGTATGCACATATGATATTTTACTTACTTATTTATCATTAATGGGCATTTGGGTTGTTTCTACTTTTTGGCTATCATAAATAATGCTTCTATGAACATTTGTGTGTAAGTTTTTGTGTGAACCTGTGTTTTCATTTACCTTGGGTACATACCTAGGAATGGAATTCCTGGGTCCTATGGTAACTCTGTTTAATTGTTTGAGGACCTGCAAAACTGTTTTCCAAAGTGGCCGCGCCACTTTACATTCCTACTGGAATATGCTGTCAAATACAGCAGCAATAACTTATATCATTAAGCAAACAGCAAATGTGATCATAGGCATGTGTCCAGCAGCAACTGGGTTTGGGAGAAAGCAGAGAATCTGCCCTCTCCCTCCCCACAGTCAGCTGGTGCCAAGCAGGACATCACAGATTTGCTCATAACGTGGACCAATTTGGCACAGAGACACCCAGGCTTGTCCGGTCCACATTTGCACCTGATTAGGTAATGGAACCTTGCTGCTTGCATTCCATTCAAGTGCCCTTGACTGTATGTCATTGTGTGATGACTGGAGAATATTGGATATCTGGGTGTATATTTGTTAGGAGGAAAACACACCACTGGGGTAAATCCCAGGCATTCCCGTAGCTAATTTCACCCTTGGAAATTGTTCACCTTATACTTTCCACTCTGCTTGCTAGGAGGTAGGAATTGTTAAATCTGAGGTACGCTTGGGCTTACTCACTGGATTGGGTTCCTTGCTATTTTGTGCTGTTGTCAGTATGGCACAGCCTAGGCCAGGGACAAAACCCAGCTGGGTCTAGGGAGGAAGTGCTGGAGTCAGGATCTTGCTTTTGTGGTAACTGTACCATTTGAGTTTTCTTAGATAAGCTGTATTTATTAATAAATTTTTGAATTCATCTTATAGAAGTTGCTATTCTCTCAGACTGTTTAAACATAATACATTCGGGTTTGTCTTACAGGTAACAATTGCATGTGATGCAGTTCTTAGCTCAAAATCTCCATACAGGAAGCAGGACCCAGACACATGGGAAAATGAACTGCCCGTATCCAAGTATGCCAGTAACCTCACCCAGCTGGACAATGGGGTCAGGATTCCTCCAAGGTGAGCGTCAGATAGGGAGATGGAACGTTACCCCCTAAAACTGGCCAAAAGAATACTTATTTTTCTACATCTTTTCTGAATTAGTGGTTAATACTATCTTCTTATCAGATGCTTTTTATTAAAAATAAACTAAAAAATTCTCTCTAAAGTCACCTGTACCTTTATAGTAGATGCCGAGCATGGCCAGCCCCTCCGCCTAAGCCCGTCCACATCCACAACTCTTTGCTTGAGGGTGTTCTCTGCCTGCAGAAGCCAGACAGGCCTGTGCCTGGGATGGTCAGAAATGCTAAGGAGTTAATGCTCCCTCCTGGCCTCCTGAAGCAGCCCTCACCAGTGAACACTGTGAGGAGACTGTGGAGTGACTGGGTAAATAGACCAGATCGCTACCACTCAGGTGGGACAGCAGTCTCCAGGAGCTCCCCAGCTGGACTGAGCCCCAAATGCCCAGGGTGGCTTCCTGAACTTCGTAGTCTCACTTCCTGTGGTGCTCCCTGGGATCACCTCCCACATAAGCCATGTACATTCCCATTTTTGCCTCAGAGTCTGCTTCTCGGGGAACACAACTTGCAACAGTCTTTGGTTGTCACGTTTTCGGCTGGAACGCTCTCTGGGCCACATTAGCATCCCCTGTTTTAGGTGCCAGAAGGAAGAGCAGATGGATTAGAAATGCGTCCAGTCTTGGTGAACCCTAACTGTTCTGTGTAGTCTTGGCGAAGGCACCTCAGTTTCTCCTCTTCACAATGGGGATGGCGATACTGATCCTGAGGGGTGTCTGTTAGAATTAAGTGGTATGGTACCCGGCACAGAGCTGATATTTGACTGTTAATTAAGCTGATTTACTTTCTACTTCATTTAGATTTGCAATCTAGTAGGTTTTTTTTTTTAAACTAGTGTTCCTAGATACGGTTAATGCTTTTGAACTTTAGATGTTTATACACATGGGACCCTTACTGTTTTAAACTTACTCAAACGCCACTGTCCCTGACATACGAGTTTTAAGGAAGTGACCTCTCTTTCTTCCCTCAGGTTCTGTGTTAGTTTTCTGGCAAAAAGGCCGTTGGGAAGGGTTGGGGAGGAGCTGGTCCCCACCTGGTGGCAGGTAGGGTACTGAGTGGTCCTCCTGCTCCAGGAGGGGTCTCAGGCTCTTCCATTGCATCGCTTACTGTGGCCTCAGCCTGAGGCACTCTATGTCTTTGATGTTAATTTTCTAATTCTGCCTTGCAGTCCAGCTGTACTAACTGTTCCCCAATGACTTTCCAGTGGCTGGAAGTGTGCCAGGTGTGACCTGCGGGAAAACCTCTGGTTGAATCTAACCGATGGCTCCGTGCTGTGTGGGAAGTGGTTCTTTGACAGCTCCGGGGGCAACGGGCACGCACTGGAGCATTACAGGGACACGGGCTACCCTCTCGCGGTGAAGCTGGGAACCATCACTCCAGATGGCGCAGGTGAGTGCGCCTGTATCATCAACTCTGGGAACTGATGGAGGCTCCCTCCTAGGTTTAAGCAATGCCTTTATCTGAGCGTTGGAGGGTGTAGGCTCCAGACTCTGACATCTCAGGTTTGAATCCTGATTCTACCTCTTATTAGCTGTAAGGTCTTGGGTGAATTTTCAAATCCTTCTAAGTGCCAGGTTCCCTACCTTGAGGATAATTGTGAGCTTTTATCCCAGTGCACTCAGTAAGATCTTAATAAATGTTCGCTGCTTTTGTTATTATCGTTCTGTATATCTCTTGGCTAAGAGGGCAGAAGCAGGAACCAGGACTTGACTGTGAAGCCATTGTGCACAGTCAAACCCACCATTAGAGTAGTAGAGGGGGAGGAGCCGTAGACGTCATTATGGGGTTTAGTATTATTTCAGAAACAGATGGATTCTTTCTGGAGAAGGCAGTTTTCAAAGGATAGATGCTGTGTGTCCAGAGTCCCTGCCATCCACTGGCCATGATGGTGTTGACATGCTGCCAGAGATTAGAGTTGGTCCCTGTTTGGACCGTCAGCTTCAGAATTCTTTTCTTTTCTTTATGGTCTCACACTGTATGCTTTAAAACAATAGCTTTGGCCATGTTTATACAGTCAGTTCCTTCTACCATTTTGCAAGGAAAAAAGAAATAGTATCATGGCCACTAATGATAAACTTAAGCATTGAGCTGTGGCCGGCAGAACCCATCCTCTAAGCATCATTGAAAACATTTGTTAAGCATGGGTCTGGCTCAACACCTAGGTCCCTCTTCTCCATCACTCCAGGCTTTAGAATCTCTTTTTTCATTATTTTAAGGGAAGATGAGGTTTTAGGAGAAATAGAAAGATCCTTGTCTTGTCTCTGTTTTCTTCCTGTGACTGATTAACCTGCCTCAGAGTTCACCGGCTAGGATGTTTTCGCTAAATAGGGTACACTTGTCAACTGCCTTTTCCATCCAACTGGTTATGTTTCCCACTTGTTTTATAGTTGAGGGCTGGCAGCTAGGTCGTGTTGAGATTCTTTTGATTCACATTTTGGATAATTTTCTTGTTTCTAAAGTTTGGGGGCTTATTTTCACTCATTAGGGAAAAATAGCTGCGGGAGGCCCAGCTGCTGGGGCCAGACGTCCCCTGCCCCCAAGCAAATAAAACTCTACACAAGCCAGGCTGAATCCTCAGATTTCCAGCATCTCCAGAGGAAATTCAGGATATGCAGTTGAATCTGGGTTCTACCAAAGTGTGTGCAGGTCATTGCTATGCTGAATAACTGCTCTTTAAGGCAACCATTATTGTGTTTTTATGGGACCACAGAGAGAGGGATTTGAAATGTAGGAATTCTGTTGGATAAAATTAAAGGGGAGACTGATTCGAATGTTTCTGTTCTCTGTGCTGTCTTACGCAGTGCTTTGATAAGACCAGTCATTAGAAGTCCAGCTCTTAGAACAACCTTTCCAAAACTACAAGTGTTTGTATACATGACTTAGTTATAAAATTTTAGTTGTTTGAAGACCAGGCTATCTCTTACTTAAATCTGGGTTCCATACAAACTCTTATACATAGTAGGCACGCATACTTTTGTTAAATGAGCCAAAATATTAGTATTTAAATAATTAGATTTTATTTAAATGTATGCTAATAATAAAGGGAAAGGTTAATTCTATTTTCTATGGATCTTTAATTTTCCAGAAAGCTTTTTTCTAGTATGAAAGTTATTTTTAAACTACAATTTAGGGTACATCTGAAGATTTGTTTTTTCAGCATGAGGAAGGGAAGTTTATATTTGCTCCTTGATTATACAAGAAGCAGACGTTCAGTGTAACATATTTAGAAAACAGAGAAAAGTGTAGAGAGGTAAATAAAAATCACTAGCAATACCACTTGCCAGACAAATTACTTCTAACAATTAGCATATATTCTTTTATTCTTTTTTCTTTTTTAAGGCCTTGATTAGTTCTTATACAAAGAAATGCGTCCCCCCCAATATTTTTTACGAAACTTGAATTACATTGTTTAAAGTTTTGTACCTTATTTTTGTCTAATTTTAAATTGTTTTTTATGTCATTAAATGTTCATCAGTATCCTATGATAGTTCCATAAATCATTTTACGATTCCCCTGTGAGTTGTGATAATATTTTTTGCTATTCTGATGAACATCCTTGTACATATAAAATCTTTGGGTGTTTTTCTAATGATTTTTTTTAGGATAAATTCCTAGGAACAAAGGGCTAAACCTTTAAAATTTTCAATTGCCAAGTTTCCTTTTTAAACAGTTGTAGTAGTTTACATTCTCACCAGCAGTGTATGAGATTACCTGTTTCACCAAATCTTGGACAACTTTGGGTACTCAGAAATTTAAAAAACCTTTGCTGAACTGGTACCTTATTTTAATTTGCTTTACTTGTGAGGCTGAACATTTTTTTATAGTGTTTTTGGCCATTCAGTTATTTTTGTGAATTTCTGAAGCTGATTTTCTAGCTGGTTTATGTGTAGGTGTTTTCTTATTGGTTTAAAAAAACTTTAGCTATTAAGGATATTAACCCAGTATCTGCCATATTTAAGTTTTTTGTTAGAGGAAGGAGAACTTTTAAGGATTTCTTTATTATATAATTGACACTATTTGAATAAATACTCCTGTTTCAATCATTGATGAATGAAACACTGGCAAAAACAGTGTGGATCATATACCCTCTGGTGAGGGTTCTTGCACTCATTTAGCTGAAATAGTGTTCACTCTCCAAAAAAAGATCAGGATTTGATTCTTGTTTATCATGTGCAGAGTGGGTTTTAACACAAATGATTATTTTCAATCTAATTATTATTTCATCAAAGTTTATGTGATGCATCAATTCTGTTTTAGTTTGTTTTAAATCTGTGTTTAATTGATTGCTAACTATAACTTACTGTTTATTTAAAAGCCAAATAAATTAATGAAAACATGGAAGTTTCCTTAAATATCGTGTGATGAACCTTGCATGTGCTGAGGCCCAGGAGGGCAGGGTGCCCTTTGGGGACCGGGGGGCCACCTCCTGCTGAAGGCACCAACAGCTGAGGGTCGCGTTGTCCATACTTGCTAGGCTAATTGAGGCCGATTCAACTCACAAGAAACAAAGTCTCAAATTCAGGGTGTTTATTTTTTAATTTATAGCGAGAACCACAACGGCCGGCTTGACCAGTACATTCCTTCCCAGTGGGAAGCTGAATTATATTTAGAATATTATTTAGTAAACAAGGAATCCAAGCAAGTTGTGGACTCAGATTTTAATGGAAGTGTGATCCAATCAGTCTGGTCTCCTTCTCCCCTATAAGGATATACCTGTTCAGTGAGAAACTCCTCGTCATGTTGAGGTCTCAACTTAGAATTAGTTCTTCCAAGAAGCCGTGATCCCCGAAGCGAGCCATTGTGCTGGCGTGGGTAATAAAAATGGGCCCCATATCAGGTTCCACTCTGGGTCCCCATGGGTACAACAACAAACAAGCCCGGAAACAGATCACCGTACAAACAAACAAAGAGCTTTCCTCTGTGGGAGGAGACATTGATTTGGCAAAGCAAGGATGAGGTTCTCAGTGGGAAGGGGTGGAGGAAGGGGAAAGGGTGTTTTTTCGTTCCATCATGGAAACTGGTTTACCTGAGAACGTGCCTCAGTGCCTGGGGTGACTGGAGAAGAGTCTTCCTGAGATGCCCAGGGCAGCTGTGAAATCACCTGGCTCACTGGCCTCTGCACCAGCTCCGTAGATTCTCAAGGTGGTCTTTCTTCCTTGGTCATCTTCACTCTTGGCCAGGGCATACACTCCCTGGAGTTTCTCACGGCCTGCGAGTCTGGAATCATGGCATTGATGACTTCATTTGAGTTTTGACCTGGCTTGTGCCCCTTCTGTGTGCCTCTGTAGCGCCTTGTGCTTCTCCATCATAGCATTTTTCCACAAGACCCTGTAACTGTGTTTACTGGTGGCTCCCCGGACAGCAGAGCCCGAGCACCATATTTGCTGGACACCATTATATCTCTGGCATCTAACATGGCCTCTCACACCTAGTAGGTTTTCAGTATATATTTCTGGAGTAAATAGATGAAGGAAGACACATCAATGAAATTTGCTCCTCTGAATCACCTTTTTCAGTCTGTCTTTCTTTTTCTATTTTGTTGATGTCTTTTTTTTTTCTCTTTCCCTTTCCTGACCACAGCCTAGGTGTTTTCGGTGTGGAAGTAATACTGTCAAAGGTGGTGGTATATACCTCTGACCTCACTCATTTTGCATTTATTTCTCTAATAATTACTGGAGCATTCTCTGATTTCTCTTCTCTTCTTGTCTGTGGCAGAGAGTCTATAGACAACACAGATATAAGCACAGGGTGGAGAGATGCAGTTTGTGTGGATGGGTCAGCACTTACTCTGAAGAGAACCTTTCTTCATCCTTTCCTCTTAGTATTTGGTGTTTGACCAAGAGTTCTGTTTTTCTCTCCACTTGCACTGTGAGAAAAGAGCCGTGAAGCCAGCTTCCCAGGTTTTCTCTTTCTGAACACAGAGCTTGTTGAGGTACATCTTTACCTCTCTCCCTGTTCTGCTTTCCTGTATGGGAATCTGAGGACAGGATTTGGACTTCTGCCATTTTCTGGGGCTTGAGAAGAGCTCCTAAAGTCACATGACTAACCCATACCTAAGACGATGTTTGTCGAGGTCCTATACACCAAACCAGCATTTCTTCTAAGGTTATTTGAAATAGTAAAGTTTAAACTCATGAGGGTCGACACCCTGCTTGACTAATTTAACAACATATTCTCAGTGTTTGTATGTCTGGTGTTCAGTAAATACTTGTTGAACACAATGAGTGAGTGAGTGAATAAGTATTTAATCCATGTGGATGAGCAAGGATGACCAGTGGTATACGAAATACCATGCCATCCAACAGAATCATTTTAATCTTTGGGAACTTCTTGTAAGAAGTATTTTTTCAATCAAAATATTTTAATAAATTTGGAAAATATAAAAAAGGCAAAACCGACAACCACAAAAAAAGAATCTCATTTAGAGATAACAAATTATTTTGATATAATTCCTTACAGATTCTCAGTCTCCATTTCTGCTCTCTTTTTCTTTAGTTAATTTTGGAACTTATTGCATGTACTATTTTCTAGCTATCACATCAATGGGTTATTCACGCTCTAAAACTTTTTTTAAAATATTTTTCCTTCTGTATATCTCTCTATGCTCTTTGCCATTTAACTTGAAACAGAACAGTGGTTGGTTTCCTTGCAAAGTGAAGGTAGGTGCTTGTGAAACGTTGCTTGGGCTATTCCTGGGAGGATCCCTTGCAGACCTTCCTAACTGTCCCTTGGCTCCAGGCTTCTAAGTCAAGTTAAGGGTGGGCGAGAGCCATGCTTGTCAGGCAATACTTACTTGTTACCACAGCTCCTGACCGAAGATTTGACTTTGCTAAGCTGCTTTTAGAGGTAAAGTGAATTTCCCATTGAAAAAGGTATGAGCCACTACTTTCAGCTTCTGAGTCCACTTAAGATTTTTTTTTTCTGTGACTACATGTCATTTATAAATTCTTCATGAAAGAATCACTGTTCATTTTTAGATTACTTGTGTGTTACTCACTAAACTGCTTTTGTCATTAGAGTTAAGAAATAACTATAGTGTCTGACCAAATCATGTATCTTTGGAGCAATTAATGAGATAGGAAATGTTAATATCTCCATGTGGCATGAGTCTAATGGATTAAGAACCATAGATTGCCATGTGATTTTCACTTCAAAATTCTAGGCCAGTACTAATAGTGCAGTTCTAGTAATTTTATTACTTTCTAATAGAGCTCTGATAATTAGAGGCTTAAAGTCTTAAGACTTTGAGACAACCTCACTAGTTAATAATAACCAAAATTAAAGTGCGTGGGGAAAGTCATTTTTAACTTCTAGCCAGATTTGAGTGATATTTTTCTGTCACTTGTCATAGATGAGAAGCACTTTTGATGTATTTGTTTCAAGTTATCCGTTCAAATATGTTGTTGGTGTTTTCAGTATTTAAACTTCTTGGAAATTTTTTAATTGTGTTGGGGATTTTGTCTTCTGTTTTTGCTTTTTAAACACTGAATTACATTTTTAAAAATAATACAAATGAAGGCTATTCCCACAAATTAAAATGGGCCTCTCCAGAAAGAGGGATAGAGGAAAAAGCTATACAATGTTTAATCTACTAATAATAGAAAGACGGACTTCCTTTGGTAACAGCGAATCTCTGTGTATCTAGGTTTGGGTCAAAGGGTCACCATAGTTTCTGTGTATAACTTTCTTTTTTCTCCGGGTGATGTTCCAAAGAGGAGGAAACTCTTTGGACAGTCTATCTTTTACTGTCCTAAAGGATGATATCTTTATGTCTTTTTCTTTTGTAATAAATTTTGTTTTTCAAATTTAGGAGTGAGGAAATTTTGGCTTTTCACTCTTCTTGCCCGTTAAGGGCCTAGGACGGTGCTTCACCAAGTCTGTTGGTCTCCTGAAAGATTTAAGGAAATAGTCTGGTGTGCGGGAAAAAGGACTGGGCCAGGAGTCAGAATACCCGGGTTCGGGGCTGCCTGTGGGGTTTGAGGCAAATGATGTAACCTTTCTGAGCCTCTTTTCCTCATCTGCAAAATGGGCCTGATGCTGGCCCCTCTCCCACATTGCGCTGCTGTGTGAGAACAGAGAAGGCAGTGGTTCCGTTAGCATTTGGAGATCTTGTTAGAACGCAGATTCTCATTCAGTAGGTCTGCGGTGGGGCCCGGAATCCGCGCACCTTGAGAAGCCAGGTTCCGCCTGAAGCATTCTCTTGTCAGGTGGAATAGTAGGATCCTGAGGAGAGAAGCCCCACCTCGACACAGAGCTCCCCGACACTAGTGCACCATCCCTCAGGCCCTGGGGCAGGGGGGCAGGGCCCGTGGCTGCGGGAGCCCCTTGAGTTGTTCTGCTGTGTCAAACACATCATGTTCAGAGTGTGCTCCGAGGTGGACATGTTTGGGAAGCATCGCACCGTCCTCACCCATCCCTTGCCCGCTTTGTGAGGTGTGGACTCCAAAGTGGGAAAGAAGGGATGGGAGCAGGCGGGAGGTGGAAGTTGGCAAGCTGTTAGGTCCGAGGCTATAGAGGGTTCCATGGGCAGAAGTATGTTTTGTCCTGGACCTAACACCCCAGGCCAGTCATTTGGCTGCCCTGAGGGCCTGAGTTTGCACCCCGCCCCCCAGGCCCTTCCTGCCCTGAGCACACAGTGTCACACTTTTCTTCCCTTGCCCTTCTCTCCGCCTGAATGTATAGTTGTGCCACTGTGGTTTTGGTTAGAAAACACAAATGTTGGGCACTTCTGTTTGTCTGATTTTAAATTATTTTAACCTTACACATTGCTTTTCTCTAGTTTCAGAAAACCTTTTTTAAAAAAAAATTACTTCCTGAAATGTCGCAAGAATTGATAAGTGAATACATTTTCAAAAAATACCTATTTATTATGTTTGTTTTTCATCATCTGTCTTTCCCCAGTTGAATGTAACTCACAAGGGGCTTTTGTTTTGTTCACTGATGTATCCTAAGCTGGGTACACAGTAGGAGCTCAGTGAATATATGTTGAATACTGAATGACTTGATTACAGCTTATTTTCTCTTCACCCTCTAGATGTTTATTCTTTTCAAGAAGAGGAACCTGTCTTGGATCCTCATTTGGCCAAGCACTTAGCGCATTTTGGAATTGATATGCTTCATATGCATGGGGTGAGAACATCTACACTTTTGTCTCTGTTCCTACCTTGTGGGGTGGGAACTGTCTGTTTTATTTAAAGTGCAACTTCTCCGATATGAATCTTCATTTTATAAGTTTTAGGTTTTAATGTTTACATTCACTTCTTGAATGTGATTAATCAGCATTTTCTTTTGGTTACCAGCTTGGACCTTTTTATGGTATAATAACAAAGGCACCTCATCCATTACCATTTTGTTTAATTGCAGTTTACTTGCAAAATCTCTATTGATGGAGAGGTGCATGAATCACCTTTTGTTCACTAAAGGGAGAAGGTACAGGGAGGTGACCTTTAAGATGACCTGTGACCAACGCCACTTTAATTAATTTCCGGAAGGGAAGCAGTGCTCCGGGTGGTGTGGAAAGAATGAGCCAACATAGTATTGTTGATGGAAGAGCTTTGCTTCATTTACTGTTGTGTTTTTGAGCTGCTCTCATGACTGGGTGATATTTGTCCCCGCAAGGAGCTACTTCAGCGTGCGTGTTGTGGGTTAGCCCAGCCCGGGCCACCTCCCTCTCCCCACGTTCTCCTGTCTCCTCTTTCTCACTCATGTCTCGTGTTCCTTCTTTTTCTCTGCTCCTTTGTCAACCTGCCTCCTGTTTCAAGGCGCTCCCAAGCCCCGCAGTTTTATTTCACTTTCCTCTCCAACTGCCTTGCCTTTTTGTTTGCTCTTGTGTTTTATCCTCTCTTGAAATTATTCTACTTGCGTGTTTCTTTTGATTCCTATTTGCCTTTTTTTATCCTCCTATCTCTTTTCTTTTCAGTCTCTCTTACTTTTAAATCTTTTAAATGTGTTTTTTTTTTTAAGCTGTGGAAACACAGACATAACACACGATTGACCGTTGGAACCATTTTTTCAGCGTGCAGTTCCGTGTGGCATTACGTACATGCACATTGTTGTGCACCCATTACCCTCTCGGTCTCTTTTAATTAGGATGTTCATTCCTCTGTTTCGTTGGGGGAAACATCTATTGCTGTTAGAAATGACTCTAACAGTTAAATGACAATCACAGCTTAAGCTGTTTTTCTTCAATGACTTTGCCCCAGACAGAGAACGGGCTCCGGGACAATGACATCAAGCCGCGGGTCAGCGAGTGGGAAGTGATCCAGGAGACAGGGACGAAGCTGAAGCCCATGTATGGCCCCGGGTACACAGGCCTCAAGAACCTGGGCAACAGCTGCTACCTCAGCTCCGTCATGCAGGCCATCTTCAGCATCCCGGAGTTTCAGAGAGCGTGAGTGTGTGTCCGCCCCCCCCCCCCCCGCCCCCGACGCCTGGCGCCATGCTTGTCCCCTAGCGTGTGCTGGGGAGCCCGCCTGCATGAGCTGCAGGGCATTTCACCACCTCTTCGGAGGGAGGGTTTCTTGCACTGCAGCTGGGTGAGAACTGTGTCAAGTGTTAACGGGATCAGGTGAGATAAGGAGAGCTTTGTAAACTGAAAAACCTCTGCAAGGATTTGTCATACTAATAATGGCTTCCATTATTAGACCATCACCCTCTATGCCAAGAAAATGTTAATCGTTAATCTTCACAGCAAGCCGGCCAAATCTCTTTCTATAGATGAGCTAGGAGAGATTCAGTGATCTTTGGAGGATTTAGGCTTTTCGGGGGGTTTTTTTTTTTTTGGTTTGTTTTGTTTTGTTTTTTGCCACTCCAAATGTGATTCACAGACTGGCCCTTGCTTCACACTGCTGGATGTGGCTCTGCAATGAGATAAGAATGAAATTGAGAGTGAGCATTTAGCAATTTTTGTAGCAATTAGACATGGTCATGTTTGATGAGTGGCATTTTATTTTTCTAACAATTTGTTTTTATTGTATTTTTTTAAAAAATGTGCCATCTACAAGAGTTGAAATAACGAAAAAGCTGGCCACTCACTCACAGAAGATAATTGGGAGGCACCAACTCAGGGCGCTTCTTCCCTGTGCCTGTGCAGGCTGCCGCCTTCCGCCTCCCACGCCGAGGGGCAGAGCCCTGTCTGTGGCCCCGTTCTTCCTTAGCCGTGCTTAGGACGGGGGCCGCAGAGACCGGTCCCTGCGGCTGGGCTCTCCTGGGCAGCCACTGCCCAGGTTGAGAACATCGTCTCTGGTGTTTTTTGAAGCGGGTGGGTTTCCACCCTGGCTCCAGAGTGGGAGAGAACGCACGCGCCAAGACTGATGGCAGACAGCGTGCTCGGCTTCGCCCAGGGCAGGTTCCTTACCCAACAGAGTTGAAATGCTAATGACTTTAATTGTGGTTAACAAAAAAGTATGTCAGATATCCTTTTCTTTCCTCTCGGTATTTGAAGACGTACCTCTTAACTGTCTTCTGGTTTTGGACATTTATGGCCAGTTTTGCATGCTTGGTTTTCATTTTTTTCTTCATCCAACCGATAGGGAGGGGCTTCTGCTCTGCTCAGCGGCGTGCTGGGTGTGGGGGGTTCAGTGGTGAACAAAGGGACACGGTTCCCGACCCCCCTTGGGGAAACAGACATTCAGTAAATAGCCATAAGAACAACTGCGGTTGTAAACATGGTAAGTTCCATGGAAGAGAAGGGATGGAGATGGTCAGAAGGACCCCTTTGAAGAAAGGACACACCAAGGGACGTTGACTTTGACGGATCTTTAGGGGGTGTAGGGACAGAGGGTATTGGACAGAAGGAAGAGCAAATATGAAAATCTGAGACTGGAAAACCTTTTTAAAGGTGTGCAGTCTGCATTGTATTATTTTTATTAATCCTTACCCATATCTCATATTTGTCTTACCATTTGACTGGGCAACAATACAGCTTCATGTTGTATGTCTCATGCTCCAGGGATTTTTTTAAAATATTGAAGGAATTTCCCTATTATAGGTGTTGTATAATTATTATTTATGTTAAACTAGAACAGAGAGATTTGGGTTCTTTTGTTACAAAGCCTAATAGCACTTTTAATGATTTATAACCTATAGTTTGGTTTTTGATTGTTTTTTAATTTAATCTTTATTGTATTTTTTTCATTACCACTTAGTCCCCTTGTAATGCAACCTACAGTTTTTGAAAATTCTCTCTACACTCCAAAGTTTGATAAACATTGCCTTTCTGGATTTTTTATTCAATAAAAAATTGTCCCTTATGCCTGTGATTCACATCTCTCACTGCAGTCTTGTTTCAAGGGTCTTAAAATTTTATATTATCTAATATTTTATATTCTGTTTTCTGAACATTTACTATATGTATTAGAACACAAGCAATTTATTATTCATAGTCATCCTCTTTCTTTCTTTCTTTCTTTCTTTCTTTCTTTCTTTCTTTCTTTCTTTCTTTTTCTTTTTAACCAAATATCACTGGATTGAAATACTTTCTCTTCACACTCATTTTCCCCTAGCAGGACTAGCTCAGTGGAGTTAGGTCCAGAATCAGTGCCTCCGTTTTGTAAGTAGAGAGAGTGACTCACAGAGGGATTAAATGACTTAGGCATAGTCACAGTGTAATCTGGGAACGTCAACCTGACTCTTGGGTACCCTGTCTGCCATTTGGACCCAGTTTACATTTCAAAATAATGCTGATGAGGATCAAATCCAAATAAGCTGGTGTACGAATTGAATGACAACTAATATGGATTCTCAGATAGCAAAACTATGGTTTTTTTCTTTGAGAACACTAGATTACAAACTGAAGATATGTATTTAAAAAATTACCTAGTATTCTGTATTTTAATTTCAATTTGTTTTAATGGATGACATTCCTCATTGATTAGAAAAGGAATATAAATTACTAGCAAAATGGATTTTTTTTTTGACATTAAAAATTTACTGTTCAACTTTATTCCTCTCCACCAGCCTTGCCTGCAAACATAATCCTTTTCACAAATGTTCATCTTCCCAGTGAGTTCATTTTGTCTTGTCAGGTTTCGAGGTATGAAAAGACTGGATCGTAATGAGTTAATCATGTTGTATGTCACTAAGAATTCATCAGTGTGGCCTCTGGCTATGAATAGTTTGGTTCCAAAGTTTGATTTATCTCTTAGTTGGCTCTTGGTCTGTTGAAAAATTTCTGGATGGAATTGTTGCCCTAGAGACACATCTAAAAGCCATTTGAATGGGACTGTCCCTGAGGTGTGTGCTCTGTTAATTCTGATGTAGGTACATAATGTGGGATACAAGTTCTGAGTCTGTAGACAGCAGGTGTCACTAGTTGAGGTTTCTAGTAGTTGAGGGATCCAGTTAGAGGTCATTGCTAACTATGAGACATCATGGTTCTCTGCTAAGGCTTTATTGCAGTGATGATTTTTCTGTAGGGTTATAGGTAGCCAATTATGGAAATGGTTTATGTGATTACATGTTATGAATGTATTCATTCAGCATGTATTTATTGAGTATTTTTTACATGTCAGATACTGTTCTAGTGCTACAGAGACACTGCTTTAATTAGGGTCTTTGCCTTCATGGAAATTATTCTAGTATGTAATCTCTAGAGAGACAGATAATAAGCAAGAACATAAATAAATGATATAATTGCAAATAGTGATGCATGCCAAGAAGAAAGTAAGCCAGGGTCAGGTGATAGGGAATTAGGAGGGGTGGGGGGTGACTTTTAATCAGACCTGAGAAGGAGCAGGGATCTGTGGAGGGAGCATTCCAGGGAAGAGACAGCAGATGGCCTGACCTTGAAGCAGGAGTGAGCTTGGCGTGCCCTTGGGGCAGCAAGGAGGGCAGGTGGCCGAGGTGTTGTGGGCTGGGGGAGAGGGGTGGGAATGAGGTCAGAGATGTGCACAGAGCAGGGTGCATGAAGGGTCAGGGAAAGGGATCTGCTTCTGGATTCCTACAGGCTCAGAGTCAACACAAGCAGAGGGTGTGAAGTAGGCAATGAATTTAGGACATGAAAGGAAGGATTATACATTGAGGCTAGAGATGGGTGATTAGACTTAGCACTGCAGTCAGGATAAACGGGTCAGAAGGAGGTTGCCCAAGGGTCCCTGGACAGGCGGCTACGGCAGGGTGGCTCAGAGCCCAGCTCTGGAGCCAGACTGCCCGGGTCCACTCTGGGCTTCATCACTCCCTCTCCAGGGGACTTTGAAAGCTACCTACTGAATTTGCACCCCATTCCTTGTATCTCTCAAATGGAGTAATGATACTAATCACTTCCTCCTATGGTTGTAATGAAACCTCAACCAGGTAATATAGGGAACCCTCAAGAAACGAGAGTTGTCACTGCTATTATCATCATTATTCATTTGGACATGACTAGAACAGTTCCTAACCGTATCATTTGTTTTTGAGATGGCAGTTGCAATTGCATGAGCCAGTGGTTCTTGACTTGGGCTATGTGTTAGAATCAGTTGAGGGAACTTGGAAAAGACTCCAAATCCCAGGCCTCAGTCTCAGACAGTGAAATCAGAACACCAAGGGGTGGCTCTGGCTTTCGTATTTTTTTCAAGAAACTCCTTAGGGGATTCTACTCCATACCCAGGGTTGAGATCCACTGATAGAAGTGTAAACATTTTAGGGAGGCCCATAAATATGGCTGCGGAGGTAGGGGCTCAGGAAAAACTTGCCTTCGGGTGGATGATTTAATTTTGACTGAAAGGTAAGAAAGTCTTAACTAGGACAACATCTTATTTTGGTTCTCTTCTCTCCGTTTCTATGTTTTGACTGTCACTTCTCATTTTCTAGGTATGTAGGAAATCTTCCAAGAATATTTGACTACTCTCCTTTAGATCCAACACAAGATTTCAACACACAGATGTAAGTGCCCAACTGTAGATTTTAAGAAAAGTCTCCAGTAGAGTGTCCATAGTGGTTCTTTCTGGGTTGCAGAATTAAAGTCAGTTCTCTTTATTTTATGTATTTTTAAAAAGTGTTCTAAAATGAACATATGTTACTTAAATTTTTTTTTTTTTTTTTTCACTTTAGAGCGAGAGGAAGTGTTGGGGGGAGAGAGACATCACTTTGTTGTTCCACTTATTTATGCGTTCATTGGTTGACTCTTGTCTGTGCCCTGACTGGGGATCGAATATACAACCCTGGTGCAGAAAGACAATGCTCTGACCATGGAGGTGCCTGACCAGGGCTCATATGTTACTTTTATAGAAATAAAGAAATTAATAAAATTATCTCTAAAGTACTGAGGAAAATTTGAAAATGGAATCAATACCAAGTAGAATCAAGTAAATAAATTATTGGTGAGTAATTGAGATAAAGTGGCTCACCTGCAGGTAGCTGTCCTTAATGAAATTCACAGATAATTTTAATATCTCCAAGGGGAAACAACAATGACCTTTTTGTTTTTGTTTCTCCCTCCTGCCCAGGACTAAGTTAGGACATGGCCTTCTCTCGGGCCAGTATTCAAAACCTCCAGTGAAATCTGAGCTCATTGAACAGGTGATGAAAGAGGAACATAAGGTATGTGTCTGAGTGGCTGACATGCTGGCATGTAGGGCGGAGGGACTTTTACCAGCTAGAATGTGTATTTCCTATGATTTGGCAAATGGTGGCTGTAAATTTAACGAGCTGTCAGAATAGCTATTTCATTTCAGAGTCTAGGGTATCTGTCTGCATGTTCTTGCAAAAGGATTAGCTGGGGTGGGGTTTCTAGTGACAGTTGCTCCATGAATTTTATGTGACTGCCATCACTAGTGGTCTTCAGAAACAATATTCTTTGTAAAATAGAGCTGAGATGGAAGGAAGAAACTTTATAAAATATAAACGTTTCCCCTTGGTAACACCATCTTGCCCTTATAATAGTGCGTTTCTTCTCCCAAGCCTCAGCTTTGTTTGCCTCAGTTTCTCAAGAGGCTGGTTGTTAAAAAAACAACACACACTTTCCAAGTCCATCCCCTCCCCCTGCCCAGAGCTGAGGATTCTGAATTTCTTGGGAGGGCTGGGCAGTCCTCATTTCTGGTAAGCTGCCAGGGGGTTTGTAAGTGCACTTAAGTCAGAACTCAGTTGGCCATGTACTCACTATTAATTGATAGAGTCATTGAAAGATGTGCTTTGTCTAGTAGCCAGACCTGCATTTCCACATACCTGCGGGATGGGCCACTGACGCCTCTCTGGGCCGCTCTGTTACTCAACTCCAGAGGGCGCTCCTCGCAGCCCGGTCTGCTTGAGCGGTGCCCTTGGAATTCCGCAGCGCACAGCTCACGGGCCCTATGCGGCGGCCCTTGGCTCCCGTCGCTGTGGATGTCCCGAATGGAATGCACGCCCCACTTCTCCAACACCTGCTGTGCCTGCAGAGTGCCCTGTTTTGACTTAGTGGTCAAGTTCTGCCACTTCTGCTTCTCAAGTGTTTGACCTCTGTGCTCTCATCTTATATCAGTCTTCCTTAACTAATGCCTGCAGACTGAAAGTAAGAATTGAACGTGAATAAACTTTTTTTTTTTTTTATAATGAAGCCAGTTAATGAGGGAAATGGAGCAAGTGGGAGAAGGGAGATTTTGAAGACGCAGAGGCAGCGTTAGAGGGTGGGAAGAGGGAAGTCGGTCATGAGGAGGGAGTGGACAGTCTGAATGGCTAGGCTGGGAACGCGGAGTGTTGTGGGGGCAGGAAGCAAGTTCTCTAGTTAGTTGCATTTTTTTTCTGGCCTTGCAAGATAATGAGTTTATTATCCACCTGAGACAGGAAGACCCTGATCTGGGATGTAGCTGAGGAGATGGTTTGAGTGTGGGGCTGGGGTTTCGGGTTGTCTATGCTCCTTCTACCTCTAAGTCCCTGTGAAACTTTGAGGAGGTGATGGCGAAAAAAACTTGGTTCATAATTCTGTTTTCAATCACACGCTGGGTTTTCGTCCAGGAAGTCACACATCTTGGGCCGCTCCTGGGGACAGAGCCCACCCTCCCTGGTGGAGGAGGAGACTTGATTGGGACGTGGGAGCCTGGCTTCCTGTCCCGGCCTGCAAGGGCTGTGGCGAATCATGTTAACTTTCAGCCTCAGCAGTCAAATGGCAGAAATGGCCTGCGTGGTGGTTGTGACTATCGCGAGTGTGAAGGTACCCTCTCTAATATAAATAAAATCTGGGTACATTACGTAACTGTTGTTACGCTTTTGGACTCCCTTCGTTTGAGAAAATGTGAAATGGAAATTCATCAGTGTAGCAATGGTTGGAAGTAAAATTTGTCTTTGTTGCTGTCACAGAGTCCTTTTATTTTAGGGAAAAAGCAGTTCTTACTAATAATGCGACTCCGGCGCATTATTAATTCAGCCTAGGAACAGGTGTTGGGGCCCTTGCCCCGTCCCTGCGGTGCTGCCGGTCTGTGATCTCCAGGAGTCTGCGGATTGCAGGAGGGAGCCCCTGCTCTGTCTGGCTGAAAGGGTGCAGCCTGGCAGCATCTGGGCCATTTGTGCCCTGCAGGTGTGTTTTGCTTGGCTCATACACAAGTACCTGAATTTCCAGCTTCTCTGGAACACTCAGAACCTGCGGCAGTTCCAGGCCTGGAAGCAGTGGGCGGGAGCTGAGTGTCAGCTCTCCTTTCCCACAGCCCCCAGCGTCTCCAGACCTTTTGTGATTCATGGCCCGGCTGATAGGCTGTGTGTTTGGGTGTATAACCCTTGATCTAGATGATTTTTAAAAGCCCTTCTCGGCTCTGAGGTACCATAGTGCAAGAAAAGAGCTTGAATTGATCGAAAGATTTTCTAGGTGGTCCTGAAAGTGTTAGCGTCAACCTTAAAGAGGCAAGTAATGCATAGTAAAATCTCCACTCCTGTTGGCCTGGGAGGGATTTACTTTCTGGGGCATCAGAATTTTCACTGGCAGTTGGTTTCAGAGAAACCAAATTGTGAGAATCTTTCCTCTCTCAGGAATCGGGAGCCCTTTGGTCTTGTCCCAGGCTTGTGACTTGAAGATGAGCCTGAAATGCACCGAGAGAGGAAAGAAGATGCAACTGAGGCAGGCAAGAGGCTAGATTACACGAGGAACGTGTGGTGGAGGGGAGAGAGCAGGGACGGGTCAGAGCCGAGGGGCGGGAATGCCTATTTATAGGGCCACCACTGGTGATAACGACACTAACATTGCCTAGTCCTAACGAAAGGCCAGGCTCTTCCTGTGTGTTCACTGATGCTCAGAAACTTTGCCTAAAGTTAGGAAGCCAGTGAGTGGGAGGGCTGGGCTTTCCACTAGGCAGTCGGTCCCTGAGTCTGTGCATCGATCACTGCACCATCCTGCTTCCCTCGCAGCTGTTCCAACACTTGTTTCAGGCTCCCAGCGCGTCTGTGTGCAGATGCCGGTGGGTGGATGGCAGAGGGCCTGCTTTAAGTCGACAGAAGTGCCCGGTAGACCGGTAACCTGGGTTTCTCACCTGTCTTACATTTTGGATCATTTCTAGAATACATTCTTCCTGGTATTAAACTGGTGTGCTGCAGACCAAGGTGAAATCTAGTTTTTTATATATGCATGCTTAATAGATTTTTTTTTATCTGTAAAAGGATTTGCAGTGTTTTTTGGGGGGCAGTGCCATTTCTGCATACATTTTTGAAATTAACTTGTGTCTGTGGTAGGTAAAACCTCCTCACTATAAAAGAATACTTATTCTTCTTCAAAAAATATATTCCTGGTTTTTATGGATTCTAAGACAGTGCTTTCACACATTTTAATGCTGAACACTCCATAAATTTGTTTCTCCTTCAGAGGATAACATGTTTTAAACAGTTCTGTATTCTGAACAAACTGCATTTCTGAAGCGGCAATTCATTTGATGTCCTGTCTAAATAACGCTTGATATGTAGCTGCTGGCCTCAGTTTTTGATAAAAACGCTCTGCTTGGAGGTGATGTAATTTTTACCCCAAAATAAGGACTTTGTTTTCACCAACCTCCATCTTCTTGCGTTCGGCAGTTGTAACACTTTTAACTCACCTTCTGGAACATGAAAAAGAGCTTGGGGAGTACCCTCTGTCCCTTTAGTTTAAGAGATTTGGGATTTGGATCTGGGTCAGGAACTGCTGGTCCAGGGTTTACCTTTTGAAGTTTGAATCAATAGATGGCAATGTACTTATGTACTGGGGATGGGCTGAGATGAGTCTGTTTCCATTCCTGTGTTACAACGTATATATCCTGCTGAGCTGGGTTTATTTTCATTCTTGTGGCAAAGCTGTACAAGACTGGCTCTAATGTGATACAGAGCCTCAGTTGCGCTGCTTGTTTATTAGTTAAAGCACAAGGCTCAGGGGACCATGAATGGACAGTGTCCCGCTGCCTTCTTGGTTCAGAGTTCAAGAGAAAGTCTGTGTAAGCATTTGGGAAAGATTCTGAACACCCTAGTCCTCTTCTTAATTTTAGCTCATCTGTTTTGCAATTGCCGATAGAGAAAGTAAGTACAGTATCCTATAAATACAGCAGGTTCCTTCGGTGGTTGCTGTTTTGGAGACCATCTGGGACTCTGTCTTGAGGGCCGGCGCCCAGGGAAGGTGCAAGCTTCCTGGAGGCAGGTCTGGCTCTTGCTCAGTTTTGGTCTCTCCCTCTTGTCTTGTGCAGTGACTAGTCCAAAGGGGGGCACTTGGGTGATGTCACTAACCCACTGCCAACCAGAAACTGTGGTGCCTTTGACATATTTCTTTGGTTCTTATTTGGGCTTTTAATTTCTTGTAAGTAAGAAACTGCCTTATCCAGAGCCTGGCCCCTTTAAAAAAATATATTTAAATTTGCAAATATACACAGAAATAGAGAGCAAAGTGTAATCAATCTCCACATACCGTTAAGTAACTTAGCCGTCACCCTTCTGCCAGTCTCGTTTCATCAGTCCCCCCAAACTCAACTCTTCCCTTCCTCCCCTTTCTCTGCAGTATTTTGACACAAAATCCAAGCATCTTCCTTTTCACCTGTAAATATTCAGCATGCATCTCTAACTAGAATACTTTCTTTTTTTTTAAAAAAAATACAAACATCATATTACAATTTTAAAGTGCTAGAAGCACAACAACAGAATGAGCAACTGTCGCTTAGTGTATATCCAGTTCCCAGTCCATGTCTAGATTTTTCCCTGCGGTATCAAACACATCTTTTTCAAGGCCCTTCTTTTTCTTTTGGTGTGATATTGATTTGTTGGAGGAACTGAATCATTTGCCCAGGATTCCTCTAACGATTTTTCCCTTGAGCTGTTGTTTAGCTTGCGTTTCTTCTAAGCTGGAAGTTAGATCTGGAAGCTTAATTAGATTCAGGCTCAACTTTTTTTATTGACTTTCTGATCTATAAGGTATGAAGTGAACACAGTAATAGTTGAGCATGGGAATTTGTGAGACCTCCCTTCTGAAATCAGAGACAGCACTGGTGTGGGGCGTGGGTACAGGCGGACAGGGCTGGCTAATGATCAAGGCAGTGAGTGTGGAGTAGCTGACTCTGAGCAAAAATGCTCAACCCCAGCTGGGAAAGCCAGGAGCTGGTCGGCAGCGTGGAGTGCAGAGGGAAAGGAACCGTGTCTCCACCGCGGAAGCTTTTTCAAATAACTTCTCAGTGATCGACAATTCTCAAGCTATAGCTGAACTGTGGAACAAAGGATTAAGAAAGGTCAATTGAGGGAAAAAAAATGGGCACCGAAAGGGAAGAGGCGTGGGAGGGGAATGAATGAGGCTGGGCCACAGTTCATTCTGAGTGTCTGGGGTTTTCTGGGCTTTTCACCAGGGTCTCCGTTGAAACGTCTCTTCCCAGTTGTGTGACTGCAGGGTGGCACAGAGCAGCAGGCAGCCTTTCAGAATTCAGGGACTTGTTGAACTTTCCAAAGCAGCTGCGTTGGTGGGCACTGGCAGGCCACAGCAGGCTCAAAGCACAGCCTGCATGAAGGGGCACCGTGAGGAACAGGCAGTGAGTGCGTGCTCGTGTGAAGGCCGGCACGGGAATGCACCGTGCGAAAGGATTTATTCAGAGGGGAGCCTCCGTGCTGCTGAGAGGGGGAACAGCGGCTGCACTGGCCTGTAGAGTTGGTCCCAGCGGTGCGTGGGTTTGACAAGGGCTTCCCCAGCGTCCAGGACATACTGGTTACTGGTAAGATGGAGTCAGAGTCATCAGGCATGAGAACTGGTCACTTGTGTGCAAGAAGCAGCATTAGGACAGAGAGAGAGACAGACGAAAGGCAGAGGCAGAGAAAGACTGACTTTTCTAGCTGTGATCCTGGCTAGTTTTCTCATCTGTCAAGTGGAGTAAATAGTAACAATATTAGTCACCTCATGAAGTTGAGTGAGTTAAGCGAGATACACATAGAAAGTGCTCAGAGCTATGCCTGGACCTAGTAAATATTCACCCAAGTGCCTAGTACAGTGTCTGACATTTTATAGCACTCAGTAAATTTCCATTGAATGAATGAATGGTAGCCATTATGCACAAAGATAAGGATTACTTTTACACACTTGTGCAGGCTGATACTATATAGATATACATGAGCCACATAAGTGAAGAAAGTTACAACTTTCACATAGTTTTCAGGAGGTGTATATACAGGTAGTGAAATGAGTTATCGGGTGTACTGTATTTTGCCGTGTATAATGCACACCCATATTTTTGGCCCAAGCTTTTAGGAAAAAGAAATCTTTCAATTTTTTAAATTCAGTTACTTATATTTAGATACTTGTTTTTTCCTATTTTAAAGGAATTTTAGTATTTATTTTTGAACATATTATGGTACAAGAAATTTTATGTAACAAATAATTACAAAACACAAGAACAGATACAAGGTATTTCAGGCATGACTCATGCGTAATGCCCCTCATTATTTTTCCATCAAAATTTGGGCAAAAGAGTGCACGTTATACATGGCAAAATATGGTAAATGGGTCTTCACATATCACTGGAAGCGCATCCGAAAGCCAAGTGTGTGTAAGCTGGTCACTTCTGTCTGGGTCCCACATCCTCAGAGCTGCCATTTCAGGTCCCCTGCAGTGTTTTTTCCCGTTTGTTATAGATCCATGTGTTGTCTGTCAGCTCTTGGAAGGCACAATCCCCAGCAGTGCTCCGCAGGAAGTAGGTGGTCAGTAAACTCGAGATGACTAGATCAGATACATTGTCAATGACACAGGAAATTCACCTGAGTTTTATTAGAAACATTGTGTAGTATATGCATGCTGGAGAGGTTTTACATGTAGAGCTGCCCCTCGGCTGATGGCTGTGGGAGTTTTCCCATCACCTGCCACATTGGACTGCGTGAGAGTGCACACCTGTCGTGGTCTCCAGACCCGAGGCATTGCCCGGGATGCCCAGGAGATCTCGAAAAAGGGCGAGCCATGGCCTCTGCCAGCCACCCGGCAGTCAGGCTGAGGAGATGGGCCAGAGCAGGCTGAGAGTGAGAGGAAGCAGGGGCGCTTGCTAGCCCACAGAGCAAGTTCTCTGGGCTTCAGAGGAGGGAGTGTGGCCTGGAAGCTGAGCACGTGGGGGTTTTGAGAAGTGGGTAGACAGCACCCACACACGTGCAGAGCGCTCATGAGTTACTTCTTTAGCTTGATTGGCACAGTGAGGTTTGTGTCACTGAGACCTACTATGTGCTACAGCCGCCACTCCATTTTCGCTGCAGAGAGCCAGGGCCCAGAACTGGTCGTTCATTCTGGTTCTTCTCTTTCTTAGCTGTGAGATAATCTGGTTGTAAGACCACTTTCAGTGGAGAGACCTACCTGACACTTCACTGTTTCAGTCTCAGTTTCCCTAGCTGTAAAGTGGGGGTAATGGCAGTACTTTCTTCATAGGGTTACTGTGTTAGATGCCTCATTGTTAGATGGGGTGAACTGGGAGGGGGTGCAGGAAGCGACGTTATCCTGAGCCCACCCCTGTCGTCAGGGCGATGTGAACTCTTCCCGCTCGTTGCCTAGATTTCCTTCATGTTACCAGCGTTAAAAAATCCAGTTCCCATCAAAGTCAGTTTACAGCTTCTCCCCGCTCCCGAGCCCAGGAGTCTCAGAAGCCAGCGGTGCAGCGGGGTCAGCATCGGCATCCCCTGGCATTTTTCTTCTTCCTCCAACTCTGCTTCCTGCCTCTCCAGAGTCAAGCTGGGGCACATCAGTCGTTCTTTAGAGATGACCCCCGCTGGTCCCCTGAGGGACCCCCGTGAGGACCTTTCCTGATGCCCTGTCCAGCTGGCCTTGTAACCTCCCACTCTGGCTCCTGCCCCGTGACTCCCTAGCCAGCTGACCTCCCCTCTGTCCCTTCTGGAGGAGCCTGGTGGCCTTCTGTGTTATCCTTTAGCCTGGGGATGTTCACACGTTCCTGTCCTGCCAGAGTTGTCCCTGCCACTCCCTCTTCCCACTCTACCCCTCTGGCAGCTGCAGCCAGCCCTTCCCTGCTTCTCCCGTGTTGGGCCCACGCCTGGCCGCTCCATGTGCTCTGCTCCAGAAGCAGCCCCGGCGGGCTCAGGGGCCGAACAGCTCTGCAGGAGTTACCGGGGCTTGCAGCACCGTTCCTGTCTCCACCGGGGGCCCTCTCCTCTTCCTCCCTAATGCACTGGCAGCCTGCTCGGCAGTGGGTTATAACCGACAGCTTGGCCCCCGGGTAGCAAGTCCTGTGAGGTTGCAAGGGCCTCGTGCCTCTCTCAGAAAGTGGGATATTTATCATGCCTTTAGTTTTGACTTAACAGGAAGAGCGCCACCCTGCTCTCAGGTCAAGTTCAGAGCGCAGGGCCTGGCGTGTACTGAACAGCCAGTGCACATTGGCGTTCATTCTCACTTAGCTTCTGTGGGCCTCAGTTTTCTCATCTGGGAATTAGGGGTTGTGGTAATCCTCACTGTGCTTGCCACTCCGTGCTGTTACTGTGTATGACAGCACTCATTTGTAAGTTGATTTTATTTTTATATTTCAGCCTCAGCAGAATGGGATCTCTCCCCGCATGTTTAAGGCCTTTGTAAGCAAGAGTCACCCGGAATTCTCCTCTAACAGGCAGCAGGATGCGCAGGAATTCTTCTTGCACCTGGTCAACCTAGTAGAGGTGAGCAAGCCTCTTCAAAAACGCTCAGAAGGGCTGTGGCAAGGGTGCCCCGCCCCTACGTGCGGCCCACTCTGGCCGGGCCAGAGGGCCTCCACCCTCTTACCTAAACCCCCCGCTGCTGGAGCGCCGTCAGAATTGACTTCTTTGAGGTGTCTCTGACTGGCCCCCTGAATGTGCCGGCTCCTCCCGTCCTGTGTGCTAGGCGCTTGCAGATCCTCTTGTTCTCTGTTTATTTGTGTGTTCTAGGAGTATTTATCAGTTATTTCATTCACCATTCTTTTTCCTTTTTCTTTGCTTTTTGATGACAAAGCTTCTTGAGAGTGTCATGTGGTATTTGGAGGCCTCTGGCCACCAAGCATAGATGGCCGCTCTTTGCTCACAGCAGAGCTGAGTCACAGTAAACACTGTGGTTTTCAAAAACCACTAAGAATGTACAATTAGAGGTTTTCTTTCTCCTCTTAAAAAAACTGTTTATTTTTCTGATTACATATGTGTTCTCTGTGGAAAATACAGAAAGGTACAAAGGAGAAAATCAAAATCACCCATAATAGCAGGCCCTACAAACAACCGGTGTTAACATTTTGGAGTCTGGCCCACCAGACATCTTCCAGGTGCATTTATTAATTCCCTACATGTGGTTTCCAAACGATGTTTCCACTTCACCTGACGAGACCATTTTGCCATGTCATTACATATTTGAATTTAGCGTGATTTCTTTTTTATTTGCATATGATTTACACGAGTGCATTTGTGTAATCATATATATGGCCTTCATTTTTCCCAGGCTGTCCTTTATTTTTTTCCTTTCTCTTTAGTTTGGCCCCCTCATCCCCTTTCTTTTAATTCCATCCAGGGCAGTCCCTCTCCCATGACTTTGAATGGCTGCATAATATTAATTCACAAGATGAATCATAATTTATTAAGCCAATGCCCTGTTTGGGGACTTTAGATAAATACCAGTGTTTTACTTTTGAAGTTCCCTGGGAAATGAATGGCATGCCCAGAGCGATTGCTTTGTACCACCAGGTCTTTCCGTCAGAGTTCTACTTGATTTTATGCTAATTTTTATTTATGGCTTAATATTAAAAAAATTCACTCATCTGTTGTAATCTAACCTTCAGAGGAACCGCATTGGCTCAGAAAATCCAAGTGATGTTTTTCGGTTTTTGGTGGAAGAACGCATTCAGTGCTGCCAGACCCGAAAAGTCCGCTACACAGAGCGGGTGGATTACCTGATGCAGTTACCGGTGGCCATGGAGGCGGCGACCAACAAGGGTAACGGTTCCAGAGTGGGAGGTCAGCAGCGTGCTTCCTCGTGTGTGAAAACCCTGGAAGCAGATCCCACGGTGCAGTCACTGCGCAGCTCGACCAGGACAGCTAGCCCAGACGGCATCTGGTTTGCCCGTCTCCTTTCATCTTCCCCTAAGTCCCCGTGGGACTTTCTTTTGAAAAGAATCAAAGGCATCACTGATTTCTGTGCAGGGGTTATGGATGGAACTTATTTTAGTGCCTATAAATTTGACCAAGTGTTTGGCTTGGAGTCAGTTTAGTTTGGGGGAAAATATTTGTAATGAAATATGTGGAAAATTCTTGAACAGCATCATCGTTAAGTTGTGCTAGGAAGTCTGCAGGAAGTGACCAGAGCTGCGTTTTTTGATGTGAGACACTCAAGCAGAAGGCTCTTGATGCGATCCAGCTTTGGCATCCGAGGATTTCCGTTGCCTTTATAGACGATGAAGTGCTGCAGGCGTGAGGCCCTGCAGAGGGGCCTCTGCGCTTTGGGAGCTGGGAGAAGGCAGAGAGGTTGCAGCAGGTTGGGGTCTGAGAGGAAGGTTCCATCAGTCTGTCTAATCTGGTTCTTCCCAGGCAGAATAGATACAATTATATTTCTTAGAATTAACATTTTAGAAGCAGAAAAAGGCAATGTACCTGCTAAGTTCCTTCTCTGCTGTGAATGGGTCCTTTCTGTAGACGTCAACAGCTTCCTGGGGGCCCTTTTCCGTTTTTTTTTTTCTTTTTTGTGGGGGGAAGTAGTCACTTTATTGTGCTAACTGGGAAGTGATAAATATGGGGATTTCAAGGTAAAATGATTTCCATTTCCTCTAAGCTCCTGCAGCTTTTGACCAGTTTTTAAATTCTTATCCTCTGTAAGGGCAGAAATGAGAGTGAGGGTGTATGGTTCGTTTTCTTTTTAGAACTAGGCTTAATAACTTTCTCTTAATGACCTTCGGGATCCTGACTCACATGTTCTGCTTAGTTCTGTGATCCTGTTTGACTCACTGTTAACATTTTTGAGTGGTGACTATTTTGTTCAGAAAGGATACTGATAATTTAGTTAGTTTCTGGGTATTGATTGCTGGAACACCAAATGCCAGCATTCTAGAGAGAAGTACATCATAAATTGATGGTGGAATGGGAGGTGAAATTTTTAAAAAAGATTATTTATTTTTACAGAGGAGAAGGGAGGGAGAAAGAGAAGGAGAGAAACATCGATGTGTGGTTGCATCTTGCACGCCCCTTGCTGGGGACCTGGCCTGCAACCCAGGCATGAGCCCTGACTGGGAATTGAACCAGCAACCCTTTGCTTCGCAGGCAGGAGCTCAATCCACTGAGCCACACCAGCTAGGGTGGGAGATGAATTTTAAAAGCATAGTCAGATGTGTTTAAGAAAGCATCTAAGTACATAAGTGTGCCTAAAAGCTGAATCAGGAGTGATTTTTTTTTTTTTTTACAAAAGGAATTCCCAGAAACGCCTATTCAGGATCTATATAAAATTTTGACTTGCAAGTGGTTTCCAAGAGCAGACCTGCTGACTCTTGGGAAGTTCACAGTGCACTCCCTTCTTTTTCCCTTGATGTTTAATCATTTGAGCAGGGTTAGTGTTGAAAGGCTTTATGGGTTAGTGGCTCTGTTATCTGAGGTGTTGAGTAATCTCAACCGGAAATTGTCTTGGCAATGTCAGTCTCACAGGTCGCGTGCTGTGGATGGCTGCCGCCTGTATAGTTCCCTTTGCTCCTTGGCCCACACCCTCTGTGACCTCTGTTCATTGAGAAGGGCCTGGGAAGAGGTGAGCCCTAGGGTTTCTTTCAGTGTGCAATTCGCTGTGTGAAGAATTTGTGATTGGAAGGTGGCATTTGGGTAAACCAGCCCTGACCTCTGGACAAATGAGAGACCAAGTTCATGCATCATTTATATCACATGTGGTCTGAACCTCTCATGTGGGCTGGGGTTCAGAGTTCCTTTTTGTCAGTCTCAAAGGGGAATAGGCAAAAAAAAAAAAAAAATATATATATATATGAATGGCTTGATGCAGCCTGTCTTTGCTCCTCTAAAGACGCTTGAGAATAACCTTTCTGCAGGCATTTCTGGACCTGTGAAGGGCAGCAAGTAAGCAGCCCTGCCCCAGCCCAGAAGCCTTCCAGGAAGATTGTCCAAAGGGGATATTTTTCATTTCCAGAAGATAAGAGCGAGGCCCTGGCTGATTAGCTCAGTTGTTAGAGTGTTGTCCTGATGTGCCAACGTTACAGGTTTGATCCCTGGTCAGGGCACATACAAGAATCAACCAATGAATGCATAAATGAGAGGAACAACAACAGGAAAAAAAAATGTTGCTCTTTCTCTCTCTCCTTTCCTCTTTCTCTCTAAAATATTTCTATCTATATATAGATAAATCTGTCTATCTGTGAAAGAAGATAAGAGTGATTGCAAAGACATTCAAATGCTTGCTCTTTTACTCAGATGAACTGATCGCCTATGAATTAACGAGAAGGGAAGCGGAAGCAAACCGAAGACCCCTTCCTGAGTTGGTTCGTGCCAAGATACCGTTTAGTGCCTGCCTTCAGGCCTTTTCTGAACCAGAAAACGTGGATGATTTCTGGAGCAGTGCCCTACAGGCAAAGTCTGCAGGTGTAAAGTAAGTGTGTGTGTAAAGTAAGTGTGTGTGTATATGCACACGTGCATGTATATGTGCTTATTTGATGGTGGGGGAGTAAGGAGAGGGATTTGAGAGGTGGGAACTGGGGTAGGAGAGTGGGGATAGGGTATCATGTGAGTCTGCACATGCTTGCTCACATGTAGTGAGATAGGATTATGAGTTACACAACCTTAGTTGTTCTTTCCCTCACTTGTGTGAGACCTATTCAATAAAACAGGCTTATTATGTGCCAGGGAGGGAATGGTTTTTTTTTTTTTTGTTTTTTTTTTGTTTTTTCCAAGAAGGTATGGCCAAAAACCTCCTCCATGGTAAGAATGATATTAATGAAGAAATTACAAAAATACCTATGAATGTCCTCAGTATGTAAACTCCACTGTGTTAGGTTTTAATTCCATAATTAAATCTTTGGCTTAGAACTTGGTTGACTGTGTTCCTATCTGGATGCCAGGGGTCTCGGGGCATCTCAAAGTGGGCCCAGAGGCTGCTGAGCGTGTTCAGGTGAGCTGCTTGGGACTCAGGCAGGGGGTCTCCTGCTGCCACATTGTCAGGTGCATAAAACATTTTTTTTCTTTAGTTGACACCTTAGTTAATTTTATACAGTCAAGCCCTTGCTGACAAACTTTGTATGTTTAGAAAAAGAGTATGTATAGTGGCATAAAATGAGGTGAGGTCTGAGAGTCTGATTCTGGGAATTTTCCTACTTTTAGATATTATTTGGCCATTTTTATTCTAGGTTAAGATTGAGCTCTAGTTGACGGAAAGGGGAGTGGAGGATGGAAGAACTATTGCTGTCTGGTTTTACCTCACAAGTAGCAGTGAAACCTAAATCACTATTCTCTGCAACAGCCGTCTCTCAGGATTGCTCTGTCTTAGATAATTGACCTCATGTCAAAAATGGGTAAATGAAAAGAACTTATTTCAAAAGCTAAAAAAGCCATCTTTTCTTAAAATAATTTTTAAAAAGTTCTTTATATTCAAATGAGGATTAATAACAAGTTCATTCAGTTTCACTTACCCATGCAGGGTAAGTTTTCATCCTAGGACTCCTCAGTTTGCTATGTATGTATGTGTGATAAACCTGGCATGTTAAATGTCGATATTCACTTCATTGCAACTTGGAGACATCTTCTTTGGGCAGTTAGCTATCTACATGTACTATTAGTGGTAGGAGCAATTTCTGTAATTACCTATCCCCCCCTCGCTTTATTGAGATATAATTGACATATAATATTATGTACGTTTAAGGTGTACAACATGTTGATTGGACTTTTTTTTACTATACGTATTGACAATAGTCTGAAGATTCCTCAACCATTGCTCCCTTTCTGTGAGAGTCTTTCCTTCTCAGGGAGAGTCAGTGATTTGCTCAGATTTGGAGTGAATTAAGTAGCATATCCAAGACCCACCACAATTCATCACTTAGTCCTTTTGGACAGTGTTCCGTCCCTGTACTGTGACTTCTCTTCAGCACTAGGGGGCAGCAGTGATTTGCATTTGTTTTCTGTATTCTGGGAAGAAGCATTCCAAGTACACTGCACTGACTTGGATTTGGAAAGTGGAATTTACAGGGAGATTGTTGAAGAAACTTTTATTTTAGAAGGTATGTAGAGTCCATGTGTACAGCTAATTTTCACTGACACTGAAATACAAATGATTGTTATAACTAAGATGATAAGTTTTGAGAAGAATGAGCGGGAACCGGGACGTGAATTAGGTGTGCAAATTGAATTGTCTGTGTATAAAACTGCCAGACGCAAGTCCAGGCTATTCAGCCTTTCTTACCCATAGTATTTATACTTCTAGGATCCATGAGACCATGGATTTAGGTGCAGCAGTATTTTAATGAGGTCCTAGAAGGTCCAACAGCAACCACAGTGGAAGTTCTCAGGGTCCCTCCTATGCCAGCTTTGTGCTGTACGATCGTGATTCGTGGTGGGAGCAGAGGTGGGAGTGTGTCAGCCTTGCTTGGGGGACTTTTTCAAACCCCACGAACAAACACATAATGCAAAAGGTAGAAGGGTTAAAAAGTACAACTTGGCAGTTACAAAAGAGTCACGGGGATGTCAAGTGCAGCACAGGGACTGCAGTCACCGACCCTGTGATAACTCCCTACGGTGCCAGGTGGGGCCTGGAACTACCGGGGGGAGCCCTTTGTAAAGCAAACGGTCGTCTGACCACCATGCTGTACACCCGAAACTAATATAAAATAACACTGAATTTAAAATAACACCCCAAAACAAAACACATGTTGCATGCATAACTACACACCCCTACAAATATATATAGTAATACTAAATTCCACAAAGGGTTTTAGAGAAAACTGATGTTTATTGTTGAAAAGCACTTTTCAGAATATAAAATGCCACAGTAAAAGTAGTAATATGGCAATGGGTCCAAAATAATACAACACTCTCCTACTTTAAACATTTTCTGTTTATAAAAAAGCCATGATGAATGAGCCGGAGGGGTGGGTGTGTGTCTGCTTCTGTCCGGTTGCTGTTCCTCCCCTCAGCCCCATCGCCGTGCCTCCGACAAAGCTTGTGGTGCTTCAGGAACTGTGTTCACAATTCTTACTGCCTTGTGTCACTGATACAATCCCCTTGTGTTTCCCAGAACATCCCGCTTTGCCTCATTTCCTGAGTACTTGGTAGTGCAGATAAAGAAGTTCACTTTTGGCCTTGACTGGGTTCCCAAAAAATTTGGTAGGTATCGTTTGCATGCTTTTGCTTAAAACATCAAATTAACCATTTAAAAAACATGGCATGTGAAACAGCCATGAGTGATTGGCTGCCAGAAAGCGTTCCAGTTCGTTTTTTTTTCCAGTATTTCCACCTTTCTCTTTTGAAACAGAATATATGATAAACACCAATGATAAAATTACCGCATGGTAACCCTCCCCTCTAATAATGGGTTTGAAATGAGTGGATTCCGGGAGTGAGAAAACAGGACCCCCACGTCATCACATAAACGGTGCTTCCCAAATGTTAAGGCGCAATACAGATTACCTGGGAATCATGGTAAAATGCAGATGCTAATTCAGCAGGTCTGGGGTGGGGCTTGGGATTCTTTATATTTTTTTATCCTTAACTATTTTATTTCTTTTACTTTTATTATTTTTTATTGAATTTATTGGGGTGACACTGGTTAATATAATTGTACAGGTTTCAGGTGCACAGTTCTATAATACACCTTCTGTAGAATGTATTGTGTGTTCACCACCCCAAGTCAAGTCTCCTCTATCACCCTTTATCCCCCCATTGCCATCTTCTCCCTCCCCTCATACCCTGCTTTCCCTCTGGTGGTCACCGTACTGTGGTCAGTGTCTGTGAAGTATTTTTTTGTTTTGTTTTTATGTTTTTTTTTGTTTTTTTTCCTAATCCTTTCGTCGTTTTCACCTAGGTCCCTAAATGCCCTCCCCTCTGACAGCTGTCAGTCTGTTCTCTGTATCTATGAGTCTGTTTCTGTTTTGTTTGTTAGTATGTTTTGTTCATTAGATTCCACATATAAATAAAATCATATGGTATTTGTCTTTTTCTGATTGGCTTATTTCACTTAGCATAATACTCTCCAGGTCCATTCATGCTGTCGAAAAAGGTAAAATTTCACCCTGGCTGGTGTGGCTCAGTGGATTGAGTGCCCGATTGCGAACCAAAGGGTCCCTGGTTTGATTCCCAGTCAGGGCACATGTCCGGGTTGCAGACCAGGTCCCCAGTAGGGGGCGCATGAAAAGCAACCACACATTGATGTTTCTGTCCCTCTCTTTCTCCCTCCCTTCTCTACTTTCTAAAAATAAATAAAATCTTTTAAGAAAGAGGAAAAGGTAAAATTTCCTTCTTTTTAATGGCTGAATAGTATTCCATCATGTAAATGTACCATGGCTTTTTTATCCACTCACCTACTAATGGGCACTTAGACTGCTTCCAAATCTTTGGTCCTGCTATTAACATAGGGTGCATATGTTCTGTTGAACTAGTGTGTCAGGTTCCTTCGGATATATACCCAGAAATGGAATTGCTGGGTCATAAGGCAGTTCCATTTTTAATTTTTTGAGGTAACTCCACACTGCTCTCCACAGTCGCTGCAATAATCTGCATTCCCACTAACAGTGCACTAGGGCTCTCTTTCCTCCACATCCTCGCCAGCACTTGTTTGCTGATTTATTGATGGTAGCCATTCTGACTGGTGTAAGGTGAAATCTCATTGTGGCTGTAATTTGTGTTTCTCTGATGATTAGTGGCATTGAGTATCTTTTCATCTGTCTGTTGGCCATCTGTATGTCCTGTTAGAAGTGTCTATTCAGGTCCTTTGCCCATTTCTTAATTGGTTTATTTGTTTTTTTGGTGTTGAGTTTTATAAGTTCTTTATAAATTTTGGATATTAACCCTTTATCAGATGTATCATTGGCAAATATGTTCTTCCATTCTGTGGGTCATTTTCCCATTTTGTCGATGGTTTTCTTTGCTGTGCAAAACCTTTTTATTTGATGTAATCCCATTCATTTATTTTTTCTTTTATTCCCCTTGCCCGAGGTGATGTATCAGAAAAATATTGCCTTGAGAAATGTTGGAGATTTTACTGTCTATGCTTTCTTCAAGGATTTTTATGATTTTGAGTCTAACATTTAAATCTTTAATTCATTTTGAGTTTATTTTTGTGTATGGTGTAAGAAGGCTGTCTATTTAAATACCATATGATCTCACCTATAAGTGGACCCTGTTGAACAAAACAAACAAGCAAGCAAGATATAATCAGCAACATTGAAATAAAAAACAAACTGACAGTAACCAGAGGGGAGGTGGGAGGGGGATAATGGGGGAAAAGAAGGGGAAGGGGTGTCAAGGAACATGTATAAAGGCATGGACAAAGCCAAAATGGGGAAGCATTGAGAGTGGGAGGTGGGAGTGGGTGGGGAAAGGGAAAGCGGTAGTGGGAAAATGGAGACAACTGTTCTTAAACAACAGTTAAAAAAATTTTTAAAAAAGGAAGATAGTCTAGTTTTATTTTTTGCATATCTGTCCAATTTTTTCAGTATCATTTATTGAATAGACCATCTTCACCCATTGTATTTGCTTCCTTTATCAAATATTAATTGACCATAAAGGCATGGATTTATTTCTGGGCTGTATTCTCTTCCATTGATCTGTATGTCTGTTTTCATGCCAGCACCATACTGTTTTTAAATTACTATGGTCTTTTAGTATAGTTCGATATCAGGGAGCGTGAGTCCTCAAACTTTGTTCTTCTTTCTCAAGATTCCTATTGCTAAGTTCTTGGAATTCCTATAAAGAAACAAAAACTTAACTGTTCTATAAAAGTTTTTGGAATATTTCTTTTAGTTCTGTGAAATATGCCTTGGGTGTCTTGACAGGATTTATATTGAATCTATAGAGTGCTTTGGGTAGTATGGACATTTTAATGATGTTAATTCTTTCTATCCATGAACATGGTATATGCTTCCACTTACTTGTATCTTTTCAGTACAAGTAAGTACTGAAAAGAAAGTACTCTTTCTTGAGTGTCTTTTAATTTTCTGAGTACAGGTGTTTTACATCCTTGGTTAAATTTAGTCCCAGATATTTTATATTTTTTGATGCAGTTGTAAATGGGATTGTTTTCTTAATTTTCCATTATTCATGTATAGAAATACAATTGATTTCTGGCTATTTATTTTGTATCCTGCTACTTTACTGAATTGATTTATTAGTTCTAGTATTTTTTTGTGTGGAATCTTTAGGGTTCTGTATGTACAGTATCATGTTATCTGCAGATAATGACAGTTTTACTTCTTCCTTTCCAATTTGGATGCCTTTTCTTGCTTCTTGTCTGGCTGCTATGGCTAGGACTTACAGTACTACGTTAAATAAGAGTGGTGAAAGCAGTCATGCCAGTCTTCCCAATCTTAAGGAAAACACTTGTGGTTTTTGTCCATTGAATATGATGTTGGCTCTGGGTTTGTCATGGATAGCCTTTATTATGTTGATATATGTTTCTTCTATTCCCATTTTACTGAGAGTTTTTATTAGAAATGGGTGTTGGATTTTATCAAATGTTTTTTCTTCTTCTGAAGGCTCTGAACAGCTTTGGAAATGGTTCTCTTATTTTTCTTTGTCCTTGGAATTCCTATAAAGAAACAAAAACTTAGATGAGATTTCATAGACTTGCTGAATTTAAAGGCCCAAAGCTTTGTTTAATGAACCTGGATGTTTCTGTTGAGGAACAATTGTATTGATTTTATGGGTCAGAGGTTATGTTTGTTTTTGCTGCCCCCTGAGATTAAAAATTATTTTTTAACTAAATTTTTTCTTTGCGTTGTTTTAAATTAAGACTGTTGTACCTGGCATCCTGACTGGTTTGGGATGCTATTTTCAGGTTCTGTTTGCTGGCCCAAGAGACGCATCCTACGCTGACATTTGAACCTATTTATTATTATATCTGAATAGTTCCATTAGTGAATATCACAAGATAGTAGACTGATAAATTTTGTATATGATAAGTCAACACAAGAACAGCTGAGCTGATAAGTTAAAAACAGTGTACTCCAATACTAATACACTTCAGATTCAATTAATACCTTTAAAACTTCATTCTTTATTTATTACCTTAATTAAATCACATTACTTATCACGGTCTGAGAAAAGGCCCAAGCTAGGTGTCACAAACTCAAATGCACAGTGAGGACAGGATGATAAGGTAAATTAAAGAAATGGGTTGGGTATAAGAGACAGGTAGCTAGCTAGCTTGGTCTTTCTCGGGTATCACACTTTGGATAAAGACATGGATTAGAAAAACACTTTTTACCATAAGAGTCATAGTAGCACAAATATGATGCCCAGGGCCGTGGGGCAGTGAGGAGCAGTGAGGTCTGTGCCAGGCTGTCACAGAGGGCACCCATGGAGGACTCTTCTATAGCTTTGCTTTTCAAAGTAAGGTAGAAGTCTGGATTTCTAAATTAAAATGTTCTGATTTAAAAATTGGAGTTTGTTTCTAACATTTTAAAAACACCACACAGAAGCTGTCTGGGCTACAAATGGTCCATGGACTGCCAGTTGGCGACCTCTGGCTTATCCCATTTGTTCTCGTTCAGTGTAAAATTCTGCCACCCTCAGTACTTTTCCCCTGGGTCTCCATTAAAATCTAATCATTCCCGATGAGTCTCCTGGTCCAGTGATCTCTCCAGGGATCTGAAAAGCCCCTCTAAGCTCTGCCTAGACGCACGCACATAGAGTTAGCGGCGCTGATATTAGGAGGCAAATAATGGGATTTTGCAGAATCCATTAAATGTAATCTTTTTCATTTTGCAGATGTTTCCATTGATATGCCAGACCTACTGGATATCAACCATCTCCGAGCCAGGGGGTTACAGCCAGGAGAGGAGGAGCTTCCAGACATCAGCCCCCCCATAGTCATTCCCGATGACTCAAAAGGTATCTTCCAGGAGGATATTCTCTACCCCTTCCCACCATCCTCTTCTGCTGAAATAGTCACTTTTCTCTGTGTTGTCCTTTGATTGCCTTCCTCTGTTGTAACCCACCATGGACACAGAAGTGAGGCCTCGCTGCAACCGTAAATTTAAAGACCCATCACGAGTAGTTGAAAGGGATCTGTGGAAACCACTGGCAAGAGAGGGCAGCTAGTCTCCAGAGAGTTTTTAGGTTATGTTGCCTCTGGCTTTGCCCTCTTCCTCTCTCTCTTTCTCCCAAATATACCTATAGGGGTGAAGGAGTGTGTTTCAGTAGGTTCCTGGTCTAGGGGATCTGCTTCATTCTCGGGAGTGCCTTTGGACAACCAAAAGGGGACATTCTACAGTGTGTGTTGGTTTTAAATATCTTGCCCACATCTCATCTCCCCAGCGTCATCACCGCTTCATAGCAAGGGAGTGGTTTGAGTTACTCTTTCACTTTCCTAAAGTGGTCATTGTTCATAATGCCTAACTTTGGAAGGCAAAAGGACATGTTAAAAACAGTTGCCTCACCTTTGTGGTTCCAAGGACAGTGCTGAAGAATCTTGGTTTCATTATTCATTCTGATAAAATCAGTTTCATTCTGGCTTTATTTGCTCACCTGTTTACTGTTTACCTTCCTAAAGAGTTAATTAAGTGAAATAACTTATAGTAATAGAGCACTCTGGGCCTTCTACCAAAAGTATTTCATTGTAGAGCAGTGACTACTACTGGTGACCTAATTTGAGTGCACAAGGAGGGTGAGGAGAATCCAAGAGGAGCAAGATAGGATACCAGATAGGCATCTTTGTTCCAGCATTCTCTAATGCAAAGTCAAATGTTAAAGTAAAAGTACTAAGGTACCCACACATGGGACATTCTGGGCTATGGGTACAGGTGATTCTTTAAAGGAATTCAAGAAAGAAGAGATCGGTATGAATATCACAAAAGTACGAGATGGCTTTCTCAGATTCCTAATAGAATCCTTGGCTTATAATTATACAGAGTTCTTAGAAATACAGGAAGGGAACTGATTTAGTTCATTAAGATGATAATCAGAGCATTATGTTTTATCTGCTCTAATGCCTGCAACCTGGTGTATTTCTCCTTGCTGTAATGATTTTATGTTGGGCAGGTTGGGTGGTCTGACACCAGTGTGGGGTCCTGAGTGGTGATGGGGTTGGGGAGTGCCTTGCATTGATTCTTTTTCTTTCTCTAAAACAGTTTGCAAAGGTTTGGTCTCATTTTTTGCTTTCTCCCTTAATTTCCAGATCGCCTGATGAACCAACTGATAGACCGTATGTATCTTAAAAAACTTCCCAGTGTCCTACAATTGTGATTGGCCTGACACACTTATTTGTGGGAGTTCAGTAAAGGGGCACTTTCCTGTACATGTGTATGTGCAGCTTTTGCTCAGTGGAAATGATTCTTTTGCTACAAGTTAGGTAGCAAATATAAACCAGTGTCATGGTAATTAAGTGGCCCTGTAGCTTGGGAGAATGACCATTAGCATGAGGGTCATTTATGACTGTGTGACCTAGAATAATTAATTTCTCTGAGCCTCAGTTTCCTCATAAATGAATGGTGGCTAATGATGCCATTTCTTTCCTTTCTGGCCATATGAGGAGGCCTTTTTCTGCAATGGTAGCACGGTGGCCAGTCATTTTTTATATTTCCAATGCTGATACATATGAAGACAACACAGCTGACAGGACATAGTAGTATTAATTAATACTCTCAAGGTTATCAGTTTCATTGGATTGTGTGTTAATTTTGTAGTCTTTTATTTCCTTTAATTCCCTTGATTTTCTAAAAAGAACAATAAAAAATAAACTGTAGTGAATATTTAGATATTAATTAGGAGAAAGAGGTAATGTTTAATACTAAACGCTTTGAATATTTTTATCTACAAAGCCTTTCTGGAGACAAACTGTTGTTAACCTTTGGGCTCTCTATTTCCCAGAGCTGATTACTTCCTTTGATTACTGATATACCTAAAGGCCTGCGATGACTTCCTGTGAGATTTAAGAAACAGGCCTTCTGAGCTGTAGATAAGGCTTTTCTCTTCAAATTTCAGTCATAGGAGAGGCTGCCGAGAGGTCTTGAGTATGATATGAGTTCTGGGAATACACTCAATCTCCCCTTGCAAAATTAGAGCATTGTTTTTAAGTGCTTGGATTGCCCAGGTGATTATCATGGGTTCCTATTGAGGGCAAAGATTTAGGTCAGCTCAACTGAAATAGCTTAATATTTGGATGGCATAAAGCAAAACAACACAAAGTTGAACCACCATTTTTACACCAAACAAAATAGCACTTTCTTTGGATGGCATGTGGATAAAGGGGTGAAGGGAAGCTGAGACAAGAAGAGAGTTTACCTATTTAAATCAGAATACCCTATTGTGCTCTGTAGCATCAGACATCGATGAGTCATCGGTGATGCAACTGGCCGAGATGGGTTTCCCTCTGGAAGCATGTCGGAAGGCTGTGTACTTTACTGGAAATATGGGAGCCGAGGTGGCCTTCAACTGGATCATTGTTCACATGGAAGAGCCAGGTACGTGGCTGAAGAACAGAATAACTTTGGAGTCTAATGCAGTCCTTAGTGATGACTTGTTCCTTCCATGTCCTCTGGATCTTTCCCCACAATGACTTTTTAGTTCATAATCTGCTGCAGTGTGTGTGCGTGGTATGTGTGTGCGGGGCTACCTTTGCCTGTGGAGCAAAGTTACAGTGTTTGTCTTTCCTCTTTTTTTTTTTTTTTTTAAGTAGTAGCTTTGTTGAGATATAATTCAGCCTTCAAAGTGGCAAAAAGACCACTGGAAACATGTGGCATACAGCTCTAGCAGGGAAGACGATGAAGGCTTGAAGTAGAAAAATGTGCATGAAGACATGGGGTCTGTTTAGTTAGCTTTTACTTTTATCTACTTTATGAAGATAACTCACTCATTAAAAGTATACACTTAAGTGATTTTTAGTGAATTTATAGAGTTGTACAACTATCACCACTATCTAAATTTAGAACAATTTCGTCCCCTGGAAAGGAATCCTGTACGCATTAGCAGCCATTTTCCATTCCCTGTTCTTCCTATCTCCTGGCAATTACTTTCTGGCCCTGCGGCCTTGCCTGTTTTGGATATTACATGCAAGTGGAATCGTGCAATACCAGATCTCTTGTGTCTGGTTTCTCTCACTTAGCACAGTGCTTTCAAGATTCATCTGTGTCATAGCATGTGTCAGTACTTCATTTCTTCTTATGACTGAATAATAATTTTATTGTATGGACACACTGCATTTTATTTATCCTTTTGTCAATTGATGGCCTCTTGGGTTGTTTCCACTTTTTGGTTGTTAACTATGGGGCTATAAATACTTTATGTGGACACATTTTCATTTCTCTTGAGTGGAGTTACTGTGTCATATGGTACCTCTATGTTTAACCTCTTGAGGAGCTGCCAAATTGCTTTCATCAATGGCTGCACTGTTTTACATTCCACAAGCAATGTTTGAAGGTTTCAGTTTCTCCATAGCTCACCAACCTGTTAATGTTCTCATTGTGGCCATTCCAGTGGATGTGAAATGGTATCTCATTATGGTTTCGATATGCATTTTCCTAACGACTTAATGATGTACAGCATCTTTTCATATTATTGGTCTTTTCAAATCCTTTGCCCATTTTTGATGAAACTATTTGTATTTTTATTACTGAATTTTGAGAGTTCTTTGTATTCTGAATATAAGCACCTTAGATATGTGATTTGGAAACATTTTCTCCCATTCTGTGAGTTTTCATGTCATTTTCTTGATGGCATCTTTGGAAGCATAGAAATTTTTAATTTTGATGATGTGTAATTTATCTTTTTTTCTTTTTTCCCCCCATTACCATTTATCCCCCTTTCACTCTCTCCCACTGCAATCATCACACTGTTGTCCATGTCCATGAATCGTTTTTCCTTTTTGCTTGATCTTTTGTCACTTGTGCTTTTGGTGTTTTATCTGAGAAACCATTACCTAACCCAAGGTCACAAAGGTTTACTCATATGTTTTCTTCTAAGTGTCTTGTAGTTTTAGCTCTTACATTTAGGTCAGTGATCCATTTTGAGTAAATATTGGTGTATGGTGTGAGGTAGAGGTCCACCTTCATTCTTTTGCATGTATGTAGATAGATATGCGATTGTCTGAGCACCGTTGTTGAAAAGACTGTGTTTTCCCCATTGAATGGTCTTGGTAGCCTTGTTGAAAATCATTTGACCATAGATATATGAGGTCTGTCCAGAAGGTATCTAGCTATGTAATATGAAAAATAGAGACATTTATTGACGATACAAGATATAAGAAACATTGTACATAGGACAATGACATCTCAGCCCCTTTCAAAGTAAGCACGTTGGGACCTCACACAGTTCTAATTGCCATCAGCTGCTCTGTCATATTTTTCCGAATCTCACTGAAGGCCTGAGATCTCTTCCCTTTCACAGGGGATTTTAGTTTGGGGAAAAGCCAGAAGTCGCAGGGCGCCGAGTCTGGGCTGTAGCGGGGGCTGAGTCACCTGGGTAATTTGATGTGCAGCCAAAAAACTGCACGAGACGTGATGCATGAGGGGATATGTTGTCATGAAGAAGCTGCCAATCACCAATTGCCCATAACTGCCACCTTGTGAATCATCCAGATAGTTTCCATGGAGGAATGTTCAAGCTTAACACGAAATTTGATGCAGATTTTTTGCTCTGTTCATTCAGGCATCTTGAATGTGAGAGCCACACAGTACACATGCTCCCTCAATGGCATCTACTGCCCCCACTGACTAGTACAGTGAAGTTGTTCATTGTTCATGTGTGCACAATGCACCGTCCTTGGCTGCTAGGTTGCATCGATGTTGCACAAAGAATTCTCATATTAACAATGGCTGGACTTTTCCCAGACAGACCTCATATATGGGCTTTTTTCTGGACACTCAATTCTATTCTGTTGATCTCTATGTTTATCTTTATGCCACTACTGATTGTCTTGATTATTTTAACTTTGTAGGTATTTTACCTTCTTGGCTTTGAAGTGTTATTTATTTTAAGACCAAAGAAGAAAGAAGGCCTAAGTGTGTGCTTATTTTCCCCAGATTTTGCTGAACCATTGACCATGCCTGGTTATGGAGGGGCAACTTCTGCTGGAGCCTCTATTTTTGGTGCTACTGGGTTGGATAACCAGCCTCCAGAGGAGATTATAGCTATTATTACCTCCATGGGATTCCATCGAAATCAGGCCATTCAGGCACTGCGAGCCACGGTAAGCACAAGAGACTGACCATGTTGTATCCTCTCCTCTTATTGGAGTGGTTTGTATTTCATCAATAGCAATTGAGACTTTCCAATATCCTTTGATTATTCTGGGTTATGTTTGTTTCACTCTATACCCCACCATGGGTGGCCCACAGAGATTTATTTGCATACTGTATATATAAAGCTCAAATAAATGAATGAGGGAATCATACAGAGAGTTTAAAACTAGGGAGACAAAAAAAATAGGGAGATAATACAGCTGGGGCAAGAAGACCAAACCGAAAGAAACTCCATATCCTCTTAATGTTTGTTAACAAGGTCAGAGACTTGGCTTGGAGCTTGCTTATGGCCTTAGAGCAGAGAGGGATGCATGAGATTCTGTATTCAGTAAGTCAATTCTCTAGGAAAAATTATGCTTTTCTGATACGATGACCTTGGAGAAATGTCCCCAGAAGTCCTCATGGTGGAGACTGAATGGCTCCTTGGAATTCTCTGCTTCTGTTTCTCTCTGCAATGAGAGAAGGGTCTTTCGGTATTCCTGAACTTTCAGATATTGGCAGGAGAGAAGGCACCAGGAAGCTGCAGGATAGATAGAAGTCTTCCTTTTGCAGTGCAGATAGCTGTTTAATATTGAGGGAAAGTACTTATTTTTTTTTTTTTTTAAACCCATTCTTCCTTGCCACCCTGTGTTCCATTTTTGAATGGTTGTCTGCTGCCGATTCCTTCTTGCCTGTCCTGACGGTTGCCTGCTGGGGTGCATTGCTGAGGTCGCCGTCAGTCCTCGGCTGCAACCTCTCACCTAGTATTTGTTTCACTCAGGGTACTTGCTTATGTCCTGCTTATTTTACTTGCTTTATTCTTTCATTGGAAATTCTCACTGTGTCTAAATAAACTCATTATCCCTCCAGTGATATCACAAACAGGAAGAGATGGACATGTTTTTTTAGTCAGTTGGTTTGAACTGCACAGGGGTCAGTTTAAAAAATTTAACTTCATTAATCAGTGTTGTTATCATTAATCAAGGCATTAATTTTGTCTCTGCTGCAGTTCAACCATTGTGCCAACATTTGCGGAGACGAGGCAATAATATCGTACTGGCATGGGCACCCTTCTACCTGGCATGGCTATCTGCAGCAAACACAGTTGGTAGAGAATGTAGTGTGTGCAATTATTGTGTCTTAGAAGGGGCTGCACTTGAAGAGATGCCAAGCTTTTTGGCATTCTGCACCCATCATTATCAGCATCAGCCTCCAGAAATGCTGAGCAAAGGCTGACCTGGGCGTTGGAATGCTGATCTGCTGCTCAGAACTGTTTCCCAGTGAATCTAGCTACAGCCCTTGCGTGGGAGCGTGCAGAATGCCAAGTGCATTTTATATGCAGAGTCAGAGCTTCTTACTCCGAAGACACTTAGGACTAATGAATTCTGGCCTCCTGCGCTGGCTGCTTGACATTGCGGTTCAAATGGTCAGGATATAATGAGGCCTGGGGACTGCGTACATTGTAAAAATATTTTATTTTATTTTATTAGAATAGTAACCTGGAAAGGGCCCTGGATTGGATCTTTAGCCACCCTGAGTTTGAGGAGGACAGTGACTTTGTGATTGAGATGGAGAACAACGCCAATGCCAACATTATTTCCGAGGCCAAGCCTGAAGGACCTAGAGTCAAGGATGGATCTGGAAGTAAGTTTCTTGCCTGAGGGACTGTCTCAGCAATTGTGACTGTACACTTAGCCCATGACTTTCTCTCTGACCGCTCACTCGCACGAAAACCTTTGCCATCATTCAAAAATGAGCACAGATCTCGTCTTCCCTTACATGATGCATTTTGCCACTTATCATGGACAGACTCAGTCATGTCACCTAGTAGTGTGTGTGTTTTTAAGTTTAGTGGCAGCTTTGACTTTTTCTCTCCTGTGAGATAAACTTTTGTCATGAACCATGGAAGTTTTTTGTCTGAAAGAGAACACTTATTTTCATGTGTTTTTGAACAGTTGAGGAGCAGTCTTACACCTGTGACGCTGTCGTCGTCCATATTAACTACTGATAGTTTTCTGAAGGGTTGTCAGGATGACAGGAAGAGTTGCCATAAGCCAGTCTTCTACCTTTTAAGAGCAAACACTTCATGTGTGTCACTATGTGCCAGCCACTGTTCTAAACACTTTGCATACACACAGTCATTTAATCCTTAACACACTCATTTTACAGGTGAGAAAACAGAGGCACAGAAAGATTAGATACCTTGCCTGAGGTCGCACAGCTCTTAAGAGGTGGAGCCAAGATTCAAACCCAGAGTCCGTTGTCCTTGAACATCGTGATAACCCTGCTTCTCAGACTGTCATTGCCACAGAATAATGTTCAGGGTCTTTAGTCTGGCATCCGTCACCTCCTCCAATCAGATGTCAGCGTCCCTTGTTTCTCAGTATCTTCTGCCCTCCCCCCGCCCTCCGCCCAAGTTCAGGTGTCCGGTACTACAGCCACAGCACCAGCCCACTCAGCTGCCATCGACCCTCTTCTTCACTCAGGTTAATCTTTAACTGTGAAATGTGCTTCTCTCCCATCGCCACACACTAAAACCCTAACCATGATTCAAAGCGGAGCCACAGATTCTGTTTCTCAGGGTGGCTTTGCCAGGTCCTCGTCATAATCAGTCCATCCTTACCTCATATGCTCATAATAATTACACCAATATTGACAACACTTGCATTGTGCCATCTTTAATCCTCAGAATTATCCTACATGGTAGATTTTGCAGATGAAGAACCTGAGGTAAAGAAGGTTAATTGCCAAGGTCACGTAGCCACGTGATGGGTAGAACCAGAACTCCAACCCAGGCAGTCTGCCTCCGGAGCCTGGGCCCAAAGCCACTGCAATGCAGCATGTGTTTGTTCTTCTGTTATTAGTGGTATCAAATTCATCTTGGAATAAAATTAGTTATGTCACTATCCCTCTCCCATTTGACTGGAAACTTGTGGAGGACAGAGGCCATTTTACTTTTGTAAAGCTCCTGGTGTCTAGCACATAGAAAGTACAAAGTAAAAAATAATTGGATTTCATTAAATTCACACTAGCAGCATTGGTTCCTATTGTCATATGGCTGTAGCTCCACTTATTCATGGTCTTACCAGACCTAAAATGTACGTATTGATCTAGCTCTAGAGAGAGAGAGGGTGGGTGGGAAACTTTCTTCTTCTTTTATATAAAATAGGTGAGAAAAGGATGAGAGGGAGTTTTCCCAACTTTCAAAGTCATCTAAAGGATCTTGTAATACTGTTTAGAAACCAGTGCTTTGCCTAAAATATTAAACTCTGTTAATAGACAAGTTACTCAATAATTCATGAGCAGGATTTATTAGGTGTTATGTGTCTGTTGGCTCACTGCTTCCTTGACTTTCTGTAATGGACTTTGGTGAGTCTTTCTCACAGAAGGAATAAACCATGAGATGGGTCCTTTGTAGAGCTGCCAAGATATTTGGCTGCAAAAGGAGGGGGAGCCTGATCATTAGGGTTTTCCGTCTCTGGTGGAGCCTGGAGGGACCCCAGCCACTCTCTCAAAGATGGTCACTAATAATATGAACAGCCACATCCTCAACTTGGGCTTCCTGAACTCAGAGTGATCGGCAGATATTCCTGGCACTGCTGGTGTTTGAGTTGCATCCTTGAATAGGATGTGATACTTTCAAGCACCCTTTAATTGAAAGGCACTGTGGGTCAGACTCTGTGGCCTTATTCCTCATTGCCTCCAAATTTAGGTCACTTGTGGGTGGGGGTGGAGGAAGAGACAATGAGGTGCTATGAGAAGTCGCATATGGGCAGTAGGAGGTAAAAATTTTTATTATGAAAAACCGACAAACACAAAGCCACCCTCACTCCACAAATGCATTTTGTTTGTGAACAGATGTTTTTAAAGTAGTCTTTTTAGTGCTGTGCCTAACCCCTGGGAATTGATCAGCAAATGAATGAATGAATGAAGGATTGAATGAATGCCAGGAGGTGGTTGGCGGTGACAGGGGTAGTTTTTTCGCTTTATCCAGCAAGTGCCACATGGAGGAATCAGCGTTCTATTTCGTGTAACTTTGCATGTATCACAGGAAAGAAAAAGAGATTTTCTTGTGTTTTGTAGCATTAGCACCTGAACGCTTGTCAGTTGCTTCTCTCTCTCTTTTTCCTTTAAAAAATTGATCACTTATATTATTTATTTTTTCTTATTAAACGGATGTATACTAATTTTAGCAACTTGAAAAAAATACATATATTTGAAAAGAGGAAAATAAAAATGACTCTACAATCCTACTATTCGGTCATAATGACTGTTAATATTTTATTAAATTGTATTTTATTGATTATGCTATTACAGTTGTCCTGATTTTCCCCCCTTTTCCCCCTTCCATCCAGCACCCACTTCCTCAGGCAATTCCCCACCGTTGTTCATGTCCATGGGTCATGTATATAAGTTCTTTGGCCACTCCATTTCTTAGAATGTACTTTATATCCCCATGGCTATTCTGTGACTATTTGTACTTCTTAATCCCTTTACCTCTTCTCGCATTACCTGACACCTCCCTCCCATTTGGCAACCATCAAAACACTCTCCATATCTGTGATTCTGTCTCTGTTCTTCTTGTTTGCTTTTCAGATTCAACTGTTGATTGATATGTATCTTTGCCATTTTATTGTTCATAGTTTTGATCTTCTTCTTTTTCTTAAATAAGCCCCTTTAACATTTTATATATTAATGGTTTGGTGATGATGGACTCCTTTAGATTTTTCTTGTCTGGGAAGCTCTTTATCCGCCCTTTGATTCTAAATGATAGCTTTTCGGGGAAGAGCAATCTTGGCTGTAGATCCCTGCTTTTCATGACTTTGAATATTTCTTGCCAATCCCTTCTTGCCTGAAAAATTTCTTTTGAGAAATCAGCTGACAGTCTTACAAGAACTCTCTTGTAGGTAGCTAACTTCTTTTTTCTTGCTACTTTTAAGATTCTCTCTTTATCTTTAACCTTTGGCATTTTAATTACGATGTGTGTTGGAGCGGGCCTCTTTGCATCCATCTTGTTTGGGACCCTCTGTGCTTCCTGGACTTGCATGTCTGTTTCCTTCACCAAATTAGGGAAGTTTTCTTTCATTTTTTTTTCAAAGAGATTTCCAATTTCTTGTTCTTTCTCTTCTCCTCCTGTGATGCAAATGTTGGACCTCCTGAAGTTGTCCTCATTTGTTTGGATTCTCTTTTCTTCTTGTTCTGATTTTTTTTTCGTCTTCCTTATATTCCAACTCATTGATTTGATTTTCAGCTTCATCTACTTCACTGTTGGTTCCCTGTAAATTGTTCTTTATTTCGATTAGTGTATTCTTCACTTCTGACTGGGTATTTATTTATTTATTTATTTATTTTTACAGAGAGGGTAAAGGAGGGAAAAAGAGAGGGAGAGAAACATTAATGTGTGATTGCCTCTTGCACACCCCCTACCAGGGACCCGGCCTGCAACCCAGGCATGTTCCCTGACAGGGTATCGAACCAGTGACTCTTTGTTTCTCAGGCTGGCACTCAATCCACTGCACCACGCCAGTCAGGGTTGACTGGATCTTTTTTATGCTGCTAAGGTCCTCACTAAGTTCCTTGAGCATCCTTATAACCAGTGTTTTGAACTCTGTATCTGATAGATTGCTTATCTCCATTTGTTTAGCTTTTTTCTGGATATTTGATCTGTTCTTTCATTTGGACCCTGTTCTTTGTCTCCTTGTTTTGGCAGTCTCCCTGTGTTTGTTTCTATGTATTAGGCAGAGCTGCTTTGACTCCCTGTCTTGGTAGTGTGGCCTAATGTAGTAGGTGTCCTGTAGGGTCCAACCACTATTAATGTTTTGTGTTATTCTTTAGACCTGTCTATACAAATATATAAAAATGAATATAAATATGTGTATTTATAAAAAATATAAATTCTATTCTATACATGGTGTTTTATAATCTGCTTGCCCCCTAACTGTGAGTGTCCATATACTTAAGTCTAGATCATTGAACATGTATTAATAACATTTCATTATATAGATGTACCATAATTTATATACCTAATTTTTGGCCAACTAGTTATGATTTAAATAAAAGATGATTACAGAAAGTGTTTCAAATAATGGGGTTATTTGTACATTCATAAGCTAACAGCAGTGATTTTTAAAGTTTTTCTTAAAGGATGAATTATATTGACAGAAGTACAGCAAAGGCCACTTTTAGTCACGAGGTAATAAACATTTGTTCACATTTAAGTTTCTTCCCTTCCTTTCTTCTTTATTAAAAATAATGCTATAGTGAACATTCATTTGATTATTTCCTTAGAGTAAATTTCTAGAAGAGAAGTTTTTGTGTCAAAACCCACGTTATTTTAGGTTTTAATACAGGATCATTACCTCACCCCCCAGAAATGCAGCCCAGCAGCTCTCCTGTTCCCTGTCGGGCTGAACACTGTTCATAATTCTTAATATTTTTATTGCCTACTTGTTTTTCTTCTTGTGTTAATCGCTTCTTCGTTGCCTTCGGCCCACTTCCCATTTTTATTGAGGTTTTCAGCTGTTTTTCATCGATTTGTATGAGAGTTTCATGTATTAGCTGTTAGTTTCAGAATACCTGGCATCTTTACAGTATTTGATTTTTTCCTTGCCTGAAACATGTTATCCTTTTCCTTTGATTCCTGT